GGGACAAGGGTGGGAGGGAGACTTTTCACATACACTCTTTAAGAATTGCTATAATTTTTCACTTTATTTTCAAGCATTTATTTGGGATAATTTTCACTCTTTTGTATATCTTTTTTAAGCTTTTTAATTGTGAACCATGTGAATATAGTACCTATTCAAAAAACATGTAAATTTAATGTAAAAAAAAAAAGTGGCACATGGTTTTGCCATTGCTTTCCTATGTCATTTTAGGGAAGTCATTCTTTCTCTGTTTCATTGAACAAATGACTCTTGATTGCTTACTGTGAACCAGGCACTGTTTGAGGACCAGAAGTTACATCTCTGGGCCTGGGTTCCTTCATCTGTAATGTGGGGAGATTAGATGACCTTCGAGCCAGTGGTCTTCAACTTGAGTGTGCATCAGACTCAGTCACTCATTAAAACAGACTGCTGGGACCCAACCCAGGTTTCTGATTCAGTGGATTTGGGTCGGACTTCAGAATTAGCGTTTACAAGTTCCCTAGTGATGCTGCTAGCCCAGGAACTGCACTTTGGGAACCCACTTATGGTTCCATCCAGCTAGGGTTCTATGTTTATAAATAAACTACATTTCAGTTCTGAAAATGTCAAATGAATAAAGGATAGATTCCTCTAACTCAGAACACAAAGTAATCCCTCTCCCCAGTGGTTTGAGAGGACTTAACAAAGCAAACATGTCCACAGAAGCTAAATTATCTAGCTTCCATTCCACCAACAGGGCCATGGCAGTGGGACATGAAATCAGTAATGGTCAGAGTCTGGTGAGTTTCAACAAGTAATTCTTCCTGGAGGAGGTGACTGCGCGAAGCTTTCTGGAGAGCTAAAGTAGACAGGTTTAAGCAAGATAGAGCATTCTGAAATCACCAGGCCCAATGCCCAAAGGATAACACTGTTGGATGTCATTTTAAGGCTTACCACAGTTTACCCCTGCTTTACAAATTCAGCTGATCATCAATGAGTTCCTGACAAGGACATGGTGCCCCAGCAGGGACCCCTGCACCCAACTCCATCCCTTTATTGAGGCTGTTCCCTTGTCCAGAATACCCTTCCTGGTCCTCTCCACCTCTGTCAGCCCTGTGTCTCCACCGGGCCCAAGGTGAAATCTGTCTGTTCTCCCTGAGAACTTAACATCTGCTCAGCCTATATTATCTTTTTTTGCCTATCTCAGCCATTGGGGCACTTGATCATTGTCATCTAATTTTATCTCATTCATTGATTGATTTATTCAACAAACATTGCCCTTCCTTCAACAAATCCTTATTGGAGGTCCTCCTGGGCTTTGTGATAGGCTTTGGGAATAGAAACATAGATAAAAACAGACCTGATTCCTGCTCTATTAGAGAAAGACCCATTAATCAAATAATTTTCCTCTTGGAAGTATAATTACAAACTGAGAAGAGTAGTCCAAAGGAAAGGAATGTGGTTTTATGAGAATGTGTAAGAAAGGAAACTGATGTAGACTTGGAGATTGGAGTCAGGGTGGACTTTCTGAGAAAGCATTGTGTGAGCTAAGATTTGAAAAATGCAAGATGAGGGAGAGGAGAAGAGCTCTCCAAATGGGGGCAGTAGCATGTGCAAAGGTCCAGTGGTGGGCGAGAGCATGGCAAGTTCAGGGAACTGAAAGCAAACCGGCAGGCCTGGGGTGGAGAGGACAGCAGGGGTAAAGAGCAAGACGAAGAAGGATACAGTGGGGAGCTGGAGACAGACTGTTTATGGCCCTGTCAGCCTGGTTGGTGGTTTTGATTTTTAACCTAAGAGCACCAGGATGCCATCAAAGGTTTTAAACAGTGGGATGATGGGATCAGAATTACATTTTGGAAAGTTGTCTCTGCTGCTTGTCTGGAGAATGGGAAAAAGTAGGGGCAGGGAGGCAAGTTGGGAGACTGCTGGAGTAGTCCAGAAAACAGATACGGTGCCTTACACAGGGTGGTAGTGGGACCAGAGAAAAGTAGATGGAATTAAAGTATTAGAAGGTAGGCCAGGCGTGGTGGCTCACGCCTGTAATCCTAGCACTCTGGAGGCCGAGGCGGGTGGATCGCTCAAGGTCAGGAGTTTGAAACCAGCCTGAGCAAGAGCGAGACCCCGTCTCTACTATAAATAGAAACAAATTAATTGGCCAACTAAAAATATATAGAAAAAATTAGCCAGGCATGGTGGTGCATGCCTGTAGTCCCAGCTACTCAGGAGGCTGAGGCAGCAGGATCGCTTGAGCCCAGGAGTTTTTGAGATTGCTGTGAGCTAGGCTGATGCCACGGCACTCACTCTAGCCTGGGCAACAGAGTGAGACTCTGTCTCAAGAAAAAAAAGAAAGTATTAGGAGGTAAACCAATAGGATGTGGTGGTTGGATTAGGGAGAGGGAGGAGTCTAGGGCAAAGGAACATGTGATCTAATGAGAACATACAAGAAGGGAACTTGATGTAGACTTGGGGTTTCAGTCATGGCGAACTTTCTGAGAATGTGTGGTTTCAGCTGAGATCTGAAGGGTACCCAGTAGTGCTTGGCTAGATGTAGAGGGGGTAAGGAGGGAAAGAGTTCTCCAAATAGGGGAAGCAGCATGTACAAAGGTCCTGTGGTAGAAGGGAGCATGTCAGGTTCAAGGAAAGAGCTCATTGAGACAGCATCCCGTTTAGGGGAGATGATGTTGCATTGCCTTTAAACATGGAGATGGTGACGTGGAGCAGGCAGGTGGCCAGGAGCTCAAACCATCTGAGCTGGGGCTGGTCGTTGGGAGCGATGGGTGGTGGACGAGGCTGTCAAGGGAGAAAGTATGTGCGAGGAAAGGAGGAGGTGACTCCTCAGACTGGGTCATAAGTGCCTGAAGGGCAGAGCATTTCGAGGAAGGAGTCACATCCCGTTGGCAGTACAGAGGATGTTTCTCTCATTTCTCCCTCTGTCCCTTCTCAACCATTATCTGGGTTCAGGTCTTAATAATAATGTCTCACCTGGATGCACGAGAATCTGCTAATAGAGTGCCTCTCAAATGTCCACGTGCATATGACTCATCTGCGGGCGGAAGTCGTCTGATAAGATGCGGATTCTCATCCAGTAGATCTCAGCTGGAGCCTGGGCGGCAGGGTTTGTAACCAGCTCCCAGGTGATCTGGACACCCTTGGAGCAGCCAGGGAACTGGTCTCCCTGCTTCGGAAGCTCAGCCCCGTCATCATGCCCAGCATCCTCTTGCCTTCACAGCCATGCACTGCCCACCCTGACTTCCCATTCAGGGTCTGCTCCTCCACCTCTGGCTGCCTTTGCTTCCAACCTAACTGGACCCCTCTGAACTTTTCCATCATAGCTCAAAAAGGGACAGACCAACTCAGCTCGCTCCCAGGTGGAGGGGCATGACTACAGTGGACTTTAGACTTTTACAAGAATTTTGTCAAACTCTTTCACCCCTCACACATTTTTTTTTTTTTTTTTGAGACAGAGTCTCACTTTGTTGCCTAGGCTAGAGTGCCATGGCGTCAGCCTAGCTCACAGCAACCTCAAACTCCTGGGCTCAAGTGATCCTGCTGCCTCAGCCTCCTGAGTAGCTGGGACTACAGGCATGCGCCACCATGCCCGGCTCATTTTTTTCTATATGTATTAGTTGACCAATTAATTTCTTTGTATTTATAGTAGAGACAGGGTCTCACTCTTGCTCAGGCTGGTTTCGAACTCCTGACCTCGAGTAATCCTCCCGCCTCGGCCTCCCAGAGTGCTAGGATTACAGGTGTGAGCCACCGCGCCCGGCCCACACATTTTTAAGTTTACATCTACATTTTTTATCATAACATCTGTAGAAGATGCAGTTTCTAGTATATTGTAAACATGGATATTTTTAAGTAAAACTATTAACATCACTGTTTTAAATTTGTCCCAAGGAATCTAAACACCATAGCAATATAATTTTAAAAATGCACAAACACATTCTTCTTTAATAGTGTTCTTTTTTTCTCCATGAAGTTTTATTTCTATTTCACTTTCCCCATTGAATTTTATCCTAATGTAATATATTTTTATACTTAAAACCCTTTCATTTGTTTCCCTATCATATTTTGCTAACAATTTTATAAAGTTGAAACTTTTTTAACTTCCTGAAATCATAAAGCTCTAAGTATGAAAATTTGGTTTGAGTTATCATTGTAACTATTAATAGTCTGTCATTGATCAAGACAACATAAATGTATTACTAATTTAGATAAATAATTAATACACATTATAAGTTAGATTATATTAAAATGCATCTCTAAATGGTAATATTTGGGTGACTTTTTAAAATAAACTTTTTTATTGATGTGCAACATACACACCTGGACATGCCCTGTGTGGTGTGTAGCCCGAGTAGAGGAACGTTCACCTGACAGGCAAACCCACCTGTGCAGTGCTCCTCCTTGAAACCTTCTTCAGTTCTGTTCTTCTGCCAGAAATAAACTCTCCAGTCTCCAAATTTCCATATCTCTTATTTTTCCCCTTTTATTACGTGCATCTCTTTCCCCTTTGTATTGTAGTTATTTATGTGACTCATCCCTTGTCACCTTTTCTAACAGTGTGCTCCTTAAGAGTACGCCCCGTGTCTTAATCATTTCCTGCATTGTGCCTTACAGTTAGTAGGTGTCTAATAAATATTTGTCGAACAGATAAATTGATGAATGCACATCTCAAATGTCTCTGTATTTCCCACAGGTCCTAGAATAGTGTTGGGCTTTCAATAGCAGGGTCCCAGAAGGATGGATGAATTAATCAATGAGCAGAACAATGAATTAACAGATCGATGAACTAATGAGCCATTGGACAATGGCACGAAAGTCAGAGAGTTCCATCTCATGTGAGAGTCAAGAGCAGCAGAATCCATAGAGAGGGTGTGGAGTGTGTGACCCTGGCTATTTCTAATGGGGTCTCCCGTTGTGTGTTTGTTTTTATGACTGGTCGTGGTAGATACAACTGCTCATCACAGAACATCCAGTAGTAAACCCTGTCCTGTCTTTTGCATCTTGTCTTGCAGGTGTGCGCGGCCTCTCCTCACAGCAGTGGTGTTTGGTCCATACCTCAGCGCGGGTGAGGATGTAAAAGCCCCCACTCTGCACGCGACTGGCACAGGCCGACGGGAACACCTGGCTCCGGCCACGTTCACAGACATGTCCGCCGTGGAGTAGTGCAGACACTTTCACTCAGCTTCTCAGGGTCTCAGTCCTTTTGGGTTTGTTTCATTTACCTTTTTTTATGGTTTCGTGGCCAGACGTTCACTAAGGCGGACACCATGGGGGATCAGCAGCTGTACAAGACCAACCACGTGGCCCACGGTGGCGAGAACCTTTTCTACCAACAGCCGCCACTCGGCATCCATGGTGGGCTGAACCACAACTATGGGAATACAGTCACGGGGGGTGGCATGGACGCCCCTCAGGCCTCGCCCATCTCCCCCCACTTCCCTCAAGACACGCGGGATGGTCTGGGTTTGCCTGTTGGCTCCAAAAACCTTGGCCAAATGGATACCTCGAGGCAGGGAGGCTGGGGAGGCCATGCGGGGCCTGGAAACCATGTCCAGCTACGTGGCAACCTGGCCAACTCAAACATGATGTGGGGGGCACCAGCCCAGGCCGAGCCCACCGATGGCTACCAGTATACTTACTCCCAGGCCAGTGAGATCCGGACCCAGAAGCTTACTAGCGGTGTCTTACACAAGCTGGACTCTTTCACCCAGGTCTTTGCCAACCAAAACCTGCGAATTCAGGTCAACAACATGGCCCAGGTGCTGCACACCCAGTCGGCAGTGATGGACGGAGCCCCTGACAGTGCCCTCCGCCAGCTGCTGTCTCAGAAGCCCATGGAGCCCCCGGCACCGGCTATACCTTCCCGCTACCAACAGGTGCCCCAGCAGCCTCATCCTGGTTTCACTGGTGGGCTGTCCAAACCAGCTCTTCAGGTCGGGCAGCACCCTACCCAGGGCCACCTGTATTATGACTACCAGCAGTCACTGGCTCAGGTGCCAGTGCAGGGAGGACAGCCACTGCAGGCCCCGCAGATGCTGTCGCAGCACATGCAACAGATGCAGCAGCACCAGTATTACCCCCAGCAGCAACAGCAGCAGGCTGGGCAGCAGCGTATCTCCATGCAAGAAATACAGCCGCCGCAGCAACAGATGCGCCCCCCACAGCCTCAGCAGCAGCAGCAGCAGCTCCAGCTGCAGCAGCGGCAGGGTTCAATGCAGATACCTCAGTATTATCAGTCCCAGCCCATGATGCAGCATTTGCAAGAGCAGCAGCAGCAACAGATGCACCTGCAGCCCCCTTCTTATCACAGGGACCCGCACCAGTACACCCCGGAGCAGGCGCACGCCATGCAGCTGATTCAGCTGGGCTCCATGCCCCAGTACTACTACCAGGAGCCCCAGCAGCCCTACAGCCACCCCCTCTACCAGCAGAGCCACCTGCCCCAGCACCAGCAGCGTGACGACAGTCAGCTAAAGACTTATTCTAGCGACAGGCAGGCCCAGGCTATGCCGAGCTCCCACGGGGACCTGGGGCCGCCTGATACAGGGATGGGAGACTCAGCAAGCTCGGACCTGACCCGGGTCAGCAGTGGCCTCCCTCATCGACCGCTCCTGTCCCCCAGTGGAGTCCACCTCAACAACATGGGGCCTCAGCATGAGCAGCTGTCTCCCAGCGCCGTGTGGCCCCAGGTATTCTCCCAGTGGAAGTTTCTCCCAGTGTGTCTGTGTGCTGCAGGGCCGGCCAGGGCTGTCTTTGCAGTGCCCAGTCCTCTCTCCAGCCCCTTCAAGCCTTTTGTTCGTTATTCATTCCACAAACAGTAGCAGTGTAGGCACTGTTTGTGCTGGGTGTAGATACAGATATGCCAGATTTGGGAATACAAAATCACTTTTTTTTTTTTTTTTTTTTGAGACAGAGTCTCGCTTTGTTGTCCAGGCTAGAGTGAGTGCCGTGGCGTCAGCCTAGCTCACAGCAACCTCAAACTCCTGGGCTCAAGCGATCCTCCTGCCTCAGCCTCCCGAGTAGCTGGGACTACAGGCATGTGCCACCATGCCCGGCTAATTTTTTATATATATATCAGTTGGCCAATTAATTTCTTTCTATTTTTATAGTAGAGACGGGGTCTCGCTCTTGCTCAGGCTGGTTTTGAACTCCTGACCTTGAGCAATCCGCCCGCCTCGGCCTCCCAAGAGCTAGGATTACAGGCGTGAGCCACAGCGCCCGGCCACAAAATCACTTTTGATTTAGTCCTTTGCCCATGGAACTATACTAAGATGTCCTAAATGATCATGTACTGATCAAGACCTTGAGTCAGGTGCCAGGGGACCACACAGTGGGGGTGTCTCATTCCCCTGGATCTATACAGGTTATTCTCTGTGGAATTGGTCCCCCTTTGGGAGGGAGACATAGTGACAGCTTTTCTCAAAGTATATTGCTCAGAACAGCAGGTCCACAGAATGTTTCATGGATATTGCTGGGGAAACAATGGATTCTCTGGATAGATACATTTGGGGTTTCCTAAAATGAAGCAGGTTGCTGCACTGCCGGGTTTCTTGAGGCCTTCGATATGCCAGTACGCATTGTGAGTCTCCCAAAGGGGATACCACGCGTAGTTGCCAAGATGAAAACCTTGGCTGCCCACAGGATCCAGACTGGTAAAGTGAATAAGCAAAACAGTCTGGTATGAGGCATTAGGGAGTGATGGCAGCTGCAGTAGACTGACGAGCAGATGCCCTATCCAATGGCATTCTCATTCAGGATTTTTTTAAAAAGCAATCTAGCCAAACAAAACATGCATGCAGGCCAGATTCATCCTATGCACCATCGTTAACCCTTGATTAGTTCCCAAAAGTATTTGACCACAAAACAGCCTACTGTGTGCTGGGTACTGTTCATGCCATGTCCTAAGTGCTACACTCGTGTGAGAACAGGGTCTTGGGAGGAAGAGACCCCAAATAGGGACTGGTTGGGTGGAGAGAGGCCTCTGTTGGAGGTTGAGAGTCAGAGATGAACTTCCCCTTGACTTTGTTCTGTATGGGGCTCAGATCTGGTAGTAGGTGAGAATGTTGATGAATATAAGAATGAGGATGACACGGCCAAGGCTTTTAAGAAAGAATTCCAGCAGGTCTGCTGGCATGATGCTGGGCCAGCCAGCTCTTCTTTCTGTGTCCCTTTTGGGAACAGAGCCCGACTGCGCACAGAGTGGGTGCCCTGGGACAACAGGACGGAACGTGGTGGGGAGGGTCCTGGCAGGCTTCTGGCTGGTGGCAGCTCCAGGAATGGGGCAGTGGTCCCAAGTCAGAGAGCGATTAAGGAAAGAAGTCCGGTGTGGAAGAATGAGGGATGTGGGCGGGGTTGGCATGAGGCAGGCGGACAGGGGAAGAGTCCTGGAAGGGTAAATCTCCATGCTCCACCACTCAATTTTGCCTCCTTTCAGAAACACATCTTTTTTCCTCTTTTTTTTCCGGTGTTCTGCTTGGCTCAAAATTAGATGCACCTACCTGATGGGAGAGCCCAGCCAGGGTCCCCTGAGTCAAGGTAGGTTGAGTGGAAGCTTGTTGGTATTTTGGGAGACTGGGAGGTTGTCCTGGGTTGTGTTTCATGATTCATTTCTAAATTCAAAGTCAGTTCCTCAAAGAAGTGTGTAGAAATGATAATACAACCATTGCGTTTGAGTGCTCATTATGTGCTAGGAATTATATATTATGCTTTGTAGTAAAGTAACCCAATGAGGTTAGGATGATGACCATGTGCCTGTACATGGTTACCACTGAATAATTGTTAGCTTAATATTAATTATATTAATATTATTACTATAATATTATTATAGTATTTATATATATATTTTTTTTTTGAGACAGAGTCTCACTTTTGTTGCCCAGGCTAGAGTGAGTGCCATGGCATCAGCCTAGCTCACAGTAACCTCAAACTCCTGGGCTCAAGCGATCCTCCTGCCTCAGCCTCCCAAGTAGCTGGGACTACAGGCATGCACCACCATGCCCGGCTAATTTTTTTGTATATATACTTTTAGTTGGTCAATTAATTTTTTTCTATTTTTAGTAGAGACGGGGTCTCGCTCAGGCTGGTTTCGAACTCCTGACCTCGAGCAATCCGCCCGCCTCGGCCTCCCAGAGTGCTAGGATTACAGGCGTGAGCCACCGCGCCCAGCCTATATTTATTATTTATTAATATTAATATTATTTTACAAATGAGAAAACTGAGGCTCAGAGAGCTTAAGGTTTTGCATCAAATAAGTAACCATGCTACGACTGACTCCAAAGCCTGTGTTCTGTCCACTCTCCATTCAGTCAGTATTTATTGAGTGCCTACTGTGTGCCAAGCATAGAGCTAGGCTTGGAGAATGCAGCAGTGGATAGTACAGACTTGCTTACTCTTCTCACGGGCATGGTAAGTAAAGATTTAGCCAGAACCTGATAAACCTCTGACGTGCACTGTGCACTGTGCACTGTGGAGGCTGCCCCAGAGGACATAGACACGTGTCTCTAAGTGAGGGCTTTGGAGAAGGTGGGCTCAAGTGGACCTTGGAAAGGTCAGTAGAGCCATAGGTGAGGAGAACACAGTGCCTGGAGGCCTGGGGTGAAGAAGGATGTTTTTGTTCAACTCTTGCATGACTTTGAGGAAAGCCCTTTCCCACTCTGGGCCTCGGTGTTTCATCTATAAACTGGACTTAGTTCTCTCAAGATTACGGGGGTGATACAAGTGAGGCCATGGCATGGAGCGTTGGGTGAATAAAATGGGCTGTTTGTAGGGGTGAGGTCCTGTGGTAGGTCGCTGATTCCCTTCCTCAACGTATATGTCCTCTCCTTTTGGCCCTTGAGCAGTGGCCAAGCCAAAGGAGTGTTTGGGGAGCAGTTTGATGCCAAGAACAAGCTGACGTGCTCCATCTGCCTGAAGGAGTTCAAGAACCTGCCTGCCCTGAATGGCCACATGCGGTCCCATGGAGGAATGAGGGCCTCCCCCAGCCTCAAACAGGTTAGCAGGAGCCAGTCCCCTGTCCGTCCCAGGCCATGTGTTGCTTGCTTTGCTTTGCTGCCATCAGACAGAGAGGGAGGTGAGGCCTGTGTGGGCACCTGGAGAGGCCCTGTCTTCCCTTCCCAGGAATGCTCTAAGCTCTGACCCTGGGAGGCAGCTGGGTCAAACAGCCCCCAAGGGTCAAAGCAGAGGTGCTAGAAAGACTTCTAGGGGATCCCAGCCTTCTCCACCCTGAAAAGACAGCAAAGGAAAACATGTTAATGCAGTATTATTTTTAACCTCTGCTGTGTGAAGTGCCCAAGACCAGGGCCACTGGGGCCTTCCAGATCAGTGGTCAATGGCTGGGAAAGCTAATATCCATCAGGCTCTCAGCCAGAGTTTTCTGTTCACCAATGCAGTGGTGTTTGGCTCTAGCATCCAAAGATCCTTAAATACCCTCTGGGTTATCCAGGTAGGATATCCAGGTAGTGCACTATCCATGAGTTTTAAAGTTCAAAGAATTTTTTCAGAATTCTTTGAATATTGTTGACCTTAATTTAAGTCTGTGGGATCAACTGACTCTTAACCAAAATTTTGGAGTACCCGGATCATTCCATCTCCTGGCCATGACAAATTTATTTTTAAAAAGCTTTGTCTTCACTTGTTAACAGTAACATGTTTTGCATTTCCAACGTGGTTTCCTAACTTGGTTAAATTTGAGGATGGAATGCCTATTTCCATTTGACAAATGAGTAGACTGAGGCCCATAGAATTAAAAACTCCTACATGAGATCATACATTTTTTTGGACTGATTACAACCCCATGTCCTTTTCTTAAAAAGCAGTGACGACCACAAAAACATTTTTAATATTTTAATATACAAGTGATACACGGTCTAGATTTTTTTAACTGTAGAAAATAGAATGTGTGGCCCTGTCTACTACCAACTGGCATCACTCGGCCAAGGACTCAGGGTTGCAGGAAGGAAATCACCCTGCAGTGGTTCTCTCTCACCCACACCTGGTGTCCTGGAACCTTTCAGGAAAGCAAAGTGCATCCCACCCCCCCTTTTGAGAGCTGCTCTCAGCCCAGGATCAAAGCCTTTATTGTCTGTGTAGGAGGAAGGAGAGAAGGTCCCGCCGCCTCCGCCCCAGCCGCCACTGCCGCCTCCGCCCCAGCCGCCACCGCAGCTCCCTCCCGAGGCAGAAAGCCTCACGCCTATGGTCATGCCCGTGTCTGTCCCTGTCAAGCTTCTCCCACCCAAGCCCAGCTCTCAGGGCTTCACCAACAGCGCCGTTGCCGCCCCCTCCGCCAGAGACAAGCCAGCCAGCTCGATGTCGGACGACGAGATGCCTGTGCTCGTGAGGATGACCCTCTCTCCCCCACACTCACCCCAAGGGGCTGCCCCCCGCACGCCTGCTGTGAGTTGCTGCTCTAGCCCACCTGCCTGGGGTGGGGACATCCCTTTGCTTTCTTGGAGATGGGGCAGCTCTCCCAGAGTCACTGCGCTGAGCTCAGACGTGACTTGGCCTCTCAGCGCCGAGCCCCTGTGGCCACCTTGGAAAGCCATTCTTGTCCACACCCCTGCTGCCCATTAAACGCCTGTTACTGTACCAGGCTTCCGGTCTAGGTTAGATCCTGAGAGACCTGAAGGTAGTCCCAGGTTTAAACAGAGATGATAATTCAGCTGGTAATCACTGATCCAACCAGACCAGTTACTAAAATATGCAAATACTGTCCCACATAGTAAATAGCTGTTGCCCCAGGCCCTGGCCCCTTCCTCAGGATCTCCAGACCTCCCCAAATCCAGCAGCCAAAAAGGTAACCCCTGGCACAGCCGGGCCTTCAGGCTGTGGCCCTGGAATCCATTCTGATGATCAGCCTTACCAGATGCTTAATATTTTTTTTAATATCACACCTGCTTTAATACCCTGGAGAACCTAATTTGTTAAAATTCCCAAAGTAGTTCTGCTGAGAGCCACTCACCCCTGATCTCAGGAAAGCAAAGAGATGTGTGTTTCTCCCTGTTCGGTTCTCCTTTTTCTCAGATTCTAAGTGCTTCACCCAAGCAGCTTAGCTTGGCTGTGGGGCAGTGTTTCTCTCTATCTCTCTGTCTCTGTCTCTCTCCCCCCCATCCTTCTTCCCCTACTCTCTACCCCCTCCTTTCTCATCCCCCTCCCCCGCCCCTTGCCCTTGGGGAGTTTGTGACCTGTGTGGCTGGCTGTATCAGACCTATCCCCTGGTCTGTCCTTAGAGAATAGGTGGCAGCTGAAAATCCAGGAGACACGAGGGTAGGACTGGAGGTAGGGAGGATAATTAAGAGAACTAGAAAGGTGCCAAAAGAACCTTTCTGGTTCTCTGTGTAATATCCAGACCTCAGAAAGACAGAGACTGATGGAGAACCTCTGGGGTGAAAATCCTCCTAAGTGGGCAGCACTGGGGCCAGCGACAGGCAGAGAGAGGAAGTGATGAATCCAGGCTCCCTCTCTGCCCAGGGACATTCCTGATTTGGTGTCAGAGACACTGTTTCTACCCTTGGGGAACTCTCGACCAAGGGTTCCTAGTCACACGGGTCAGAGTCCTCGGCAGCACACCCACCCACCCCCAATTCAAGATGGCGAGAAAAAGAGGCGGGCAGACAAGAACCGAAGCCCCGGGTGTGGCTGGCTGGGCAGGAATACACCTGGGTGGCTTAGGTAATTAGGGACTGGGGAGAGGCAAGGGAGTTGGGCATGAGTTTGCTCAAGAGACCATCACTGGGGAGGTTTGAAGGAAGGGATGAACTTGGCTTCATGGGAGGGTGAGGGAGACATCGGCACAGAGACAGGCTGAAGTAGAGGTGCACAGGTGAGGCGTAGCCTATGAGCAAGGTCCTGGCACTTGCTGTAAAGAAATTAAAAGGTCCAGGGAGGAGCCCTGAATTCTAATCCCAGCTCTGCTCCTAGCCAGCTGGGACAAAGACAGCTGAGGCCCTCCTCCTCTCAGAGCCTCAGTTTCCTCCCCTGACCTTAAGGGGATTGGTCTCATCAGTGGTTCTCATCCTTCTCTGTGGTCAGGAGCATTTTAAAGCTCTCAGTGCTAGGCCCTGTGCCCAGAAAGTGCGAATAGTTTGTGGGGTGGAACAGTGTAAATGCTTCTCAAGAGGCATCCTGGTGGACATTCTGGGTGGCTTCTCTGGCCTGGTGTCTCCAAGCCTTGCCTGGAGGATCAGAAAATCTGGGTTTAGAGCTGAAGTAATAGGAGGCTGGAGGAGAGGGAGCCCAAAAGGGACCTTTGGCCCTGTGATCAGAGGTCTGGATTCCAGTGTGGCGTTGAGATCACATAAGGTCTGCATGTACTTAAGTGACCTCATCAGTTACCCAGCAACAGGGTGTAAAGTTTGGAGATTGCTCCCCAGCTGAGGGGCATGGGCCTCCTTCCTGGTCTTCTCAGCCCCTCTCCAGGCCTCAGCCTCAGATGCTGAGGAGCCCTCTGGTGGGGGGAGGAGGCAGGTGGGCACGTTTGGCCTCAGGAGAGCCCCCTGGGGGTGAGGTTTAAGTTAGGAGCCTCCACACTGGGGACCTTTGTCTTCCCAGACTCCCCTGCTAGACCTTGGAAAACTGGGAAGCTGGAGGGTACACAGGAGGGGACAGAGCCTGAGGTGCTGGAGACAGGAGGGGCCCAGAGGGAGAGGCACTCAGAGCAGAGGGGCAGGTCACATGGCCTGGGGGCAGCTGGTCACATGACCATGGCCAACTCTTCCCATCACCCCCTGCTGCCTCCTATTCAGGCTCCACCCTGGGCACAAGAGTCGCTAGAACTGTGGCTGTGACTGGCCCCTGGCCTGCAGGGCCCGGAAGGGTACCACAGACTATCCAGAACCTTTCCGCAGGTATCCCCGCTGCCTCTCCCAGCTCTCGACTTTCTGGGCTGATGCTAGCACACAACCTCAGTCTGTTTCTGTTTGGCTTTGGCATGCCCTGCTTATCTATTTACGTGCATTTGTTTACTTTTAGTATATATGTATCCATGTGGCAGATCTTCCTTCCAGACTGTGCTTAGTTCCGCTGCCATTAGAATAAACTAACTCTGCTGACAGGAAGCCAGCCTAGGGGAAGGGCTTGCTACAGATGAGCCACCAGTTCTGGGAGCACTAGTGAGAGGTGGTGAGGGGGTCAGCTAACCAGAGCCATTTTTTAGGAGAGCACACTGAAGGGGCTTAAAGATCCTGGATGACTCTCCCCATCCTGAAAGTTAGTTAGGAGGGCCAAGTGGGGGTGCTGGCCCTGTGGGCCCTGGCTAGGTGTGAACCCCCTCTTCCTGCCCCGCAGCCTCTACCCCAGCTTCCCTGAATAGATTATTCTGTCCCCTTCTCAGAACATGTGTTACCTGTCCCTGCCGGCTGTCCCTGGGGAACAGTGGGGGATTAAGGAGCCCACTCAGCTGGGTTCCACTGTAACCAGCAATCAAGAACTCGAATTTATTGCTTCTATCCCACCCCCTATTCCTACCACCCCTAGCTCTTTCCAGACAGTAGGGATTTTTTCCAGAACCAAAGTTTTCTCCTAAGTCAAGCCCCTAGAACACGCTCTGCCTGCAATGGATGTGGTCAGAGTGGGAGGGGTGAAGCGGCAGGGAGCCCCCATTAGGACGGCAGAAGACCCCCTTCCTGGAACCTGTGGAAATGGTCTGTGGGGTGAAGCCTAAGGATTTGAATCCGATCGCTCTTCCCGTTTTAGGAAGTCCCCAGGAAGCAGCAGCCCGGCGCGCCCAAAGCCGAGGAGCCCCTCAAGACGGTGCAGGAGAAGAAGAAGTTCCGGCACCGGCCGGAGCCGCTCTTCATCCCGCCGCCGCCCTCCTACCACCCGAACCCCGCCGCCTCCTACTCGGGCGCCACCCTCTACCAGAGCCAGCTGCGCTCCCCGCGCGTCCTGGGGGACCACCTGCTCCTGGACCCCACGCACGAGCTGCCCCCCTACACACCCCCGCCCATGCTGAGCCCGGTGCGCCAGGGCTCGGGGCTCTTCAGCAATGTCCTCATCTCCGGGCACGGCCCTGGCGCCCACCCCCAGCTGCCCCTGACGCCCCTGACGCCCACGCCACGCGTGCTGCTGTGCCGCTCCAGTGAGTCGCCCCTTTCAGCCACCTCGGGGGCCTTACTAAGGGGATTCACTCCTGTCTGTGCCGGGTCCTGCCCCGGGAGGACTCACTTCCTTTAGTTTCCCACTTATCCCACAGACTCCTGTGGAGTATCTGCTGTATGTTCCAAACACCGTGCTAGGTGCTAAGAAAGACCTGGAGTAAGATATAGGCTTAAACCTCAAGGAAATCCCAGTCTAACTGGGGAGCAAACACATGAATGATCACTACAGTCTCTTTGGGATAAGGAAATCGTTGAAGTGTGCACCCACTGCCTAAGACTGTGCAAATAGAATTGGGTATTATATGCAAGATCAAGCCTTGACGGTTTAGCATGCTATACAAAAATCAACCAGGGGAGACCAGTAGCAGGACCTCTTTCTGCAACAAGAATGGTTGCATAGATGCCATACAACTTAGCAGACACATGTGGGGCATGAGAAATGGGCAGCCCTAAGCCGTTTAGCACCAACTTCATCCAGCTCCCTGGAGACTGCTGGGGGTAACACTGGCCTGGGTCGTGCAGGAAAGGAGCTCTGTCGTAACTGGTTAGGTAACTGCTTCTTTGCTTTTAGTTTCTTCAGCACCCCTTCCCTGTTGACCAGTGACCTCTGGTTTTTGTGTTTCAGACAGCATTGATGGCAGCAATGTGACAGTCACCCCAGGGCCTGGAGAGCAGACCGTGGATGTTGAACCGTAAGGAAAAGCTTCTTGAGGGGTGTAGTTAGTACTTCTGTGGTCAGAGAGTACACCGAGAGGGAAGTTCTAGAAATTATAGAATCATGGCTGTTTCATGTTGTTTCCCCATATAGTAGTTGGTAGTATGTCAAGGTTTTTGTCGAAGACTAAATGCGTAGTAAAAGCATGAAGCCTTGTATTCAGAGAACCTAGTGTCCCCATCTCTGGCTCCACAGACCAGCCTGGTTGTAGCCATGTGCTTTCACATTCTCAGTGACATTAAGGCATCTCTCTTGGGGTGCCCAGCTCTCTAAGAGTGTCCTCACTTTCCCCACCCCTTTCTCAGATTCTTGGCCAGTCTCCAGTAGGCCTGTTAAGTACTTGAATTATGCAGTGGGATGCATTATGGAAGGGAAAGGTGGTTATTTTCATGGGTAAGCACAGAAAAGAGGCCAGGTGGTAGAGTGATGAGCAGATTCAGTCAGGAATCAGAAAACCTGAGTTCTGACACTATTTTGTTATTTGCTCTTGATTGAGTTAACCTTTCTAGGCTTTAGTTGATCCATAATACATGGGAATAATTATGACTGCCTTGCTTGCATCACAGATCTTAGTAAGGTTCAAACCAGATAATGTATGTGAAAGTGATCTGAAAGAGATTTTAAAAAATGAAATAAATGCTTTGTATTTGTCCCTTTTTTTTTTTTCTGTTTAAATGGTGCCATCGGCCATACTCTGGGCAGCTGTTCTCTTAGAATTGGCCACCCTCCCTCTCCCAGTTACTCGGAGCTATATAAAGTCCCAGGCGGACTTCCTCCCTTGCTCCCCAAACATCCCTCTCCAATCTTAAAGCTGTTCCTTGTCCCAGTGATAAAAGCCATGCCTGGAATCCTAGGGTCACACAGTGAGGAAGTGCCCCTGCATTCTTCTTGCAGAAGGAACTGGTTTCCCTCTTTTTCAAGTTCCTGACCATTGCCCTTGGCCCGGGCCATCAGATTGAAGACCATACTGTTGTTTTTCTTCTTGTTATTAAAGACGCATCAACATTGGCTTGAGATTCCAAGCAGAGATCCCAGAACTCCAGGATGTCTCTGCCCTCGCCCAGGACACACACAAGGCCACGTTAGTGTGGAAGCCCTGGCCAGAGCTGGAAAACCACGACCTCCAGCAAAGAGGTACAGACGTGTGGGAACAGCAGGGTGGGAAAGGCTTGATTATCTCACTGGGATTACTGGCTCTGGGTTTAGTGTGTTTTTCCATGATGCTGAGCTCTCTCTGATGCAGTGGCTTTTCCTTGTTCCCAACAGTGGAGAATCTTCTGAATTTGTGCTGTTCAAGTGCGTTGCCAGGTGGAGGGACCAATTCTGAATTTGCTTTGCACTCTCTTTTCGAGGCCAAAGGTGATGTGATGGTAAGGAGCCACGGCAGGGAGGCTTCCCAGGTCATACTCGTCCCATCAGAATCCTGCAGAGAATTTTCCCAAGTCTCTGTTTTGTCCCGTGTACCATACAGCCAGTTCATAAGATGCTGACCAGCCAACATGCCTCCATGTTCCTCATCTCAATGAGGAGGTCAGGATTTAAAAGCCTGTAGAAAAAATATCTCTAGTGGACTTATGTTTACACATCTGTTCCTAAGTTGTAACTGTGGGAACATCTATCCTAGGAAGTTAGACTTTCTTTTCACCGTCTTGTATTTCACATCAGAAAACTGAGTCTCCAGTGAGGGGGGTAGAAGGCCTTACTGAAACAGAGTTGGCCTGAAATAGCCTATTACATTCTGCTAATTATTCTTCCCTCCTGTGAAAATCAGCCATAGTTTGATGTTTATAGAACTCTTTTCTCCTCTAACCAAAGTGAAGTGTTTACTATGCACCAACTGGTTCCATTCTTCTACCTTTAACGTGGTTCTGCCAATGTCCCCCAGCTGGAGCCTTGGTGCTGTCTTCCCACAATCAGAGCAGACAGTTTACCTGCTCAGCCTGGCCAGATCACTCGGTCACTAACCTCAGTTTCTCCTTTATATACATACATGGTTCTTCCTGGCACTAGATCTAGCTTTCTGCATTTTGATTTTATGAAAATATGAAAATAAACAAATGTCCCAGTACTATGATACCTTTCAAGTACTTTCTACAATGTTGGAGAACTATCCTTAAGCCTTTGAGATCAGGGTTGCACAGTAGCACTTCCCAAACTTTTTTTTTTTTTTCTTTTAGAGACAGGGTCTCGCTCTTGTCGCCTAGGCTAGAATGCAGTGGCACCGTTGTAGCTCACTGTGGCCTCAAACTCCTGGGCTCAAGCAATCCTCTTGCCTCAGCGTCCAAAGTAGATGGGACTACAGGCATGCACCACCACACCTGGCTAATTTTTTACTTTTTGTAGAGATAGGATCTCACTATGTTACCCAGGCTGGTCTCAAACTCCTGGCCTCACATGATCCCTAAGTGTTGGGATTACAGGCATGAGCCACCACACCTGGCCACTTCTCAAACTTGTAATATGCACAGAGATCACCTGGGAAGTCTTGTTAAAATGCAGCTCCTGATTCAGCTGGTCTGGCGTGGGGCCCAGGTTCTGCATTTCTGGCCAGTACCGGGCTGCTGCTGGTTGGTGGCCCGCACTTGGAGTAGCATGATTCTAGACCTTGCTGTGCCCCTAAGCCATCCACAGCGCAACTCTACCTGCAGCATTTTTTAAAAAAGCCAACGAGGCTGAAGAAGGCAGATTTGAAAGAGTGCATTTAGCTAGGCCCCAGCTAGGCTCTCTGGAAAGATGGTGTGTAGTAGTCATTTCCAGTGCAGCTGTTTATGTTCAGTTGCGGTGAAACATGGGATTTTTCTGTAAAACAGTTACAAATCACCCACTCATTTCCTCAGAGCCCTTCCCCAGAGGCTCAGCCTCCACTCAGAGGCAGTCCCACCCATCTCTCGGAGGCTGGCAGGCCCTCACCAAGGAAAGAGTCAAGTCTCGGCCGTTTTTCTGGGACATGGCCAGCAGGCATGGGTGGGGAAGGTGTTAGAATGATGAGTTCTTGTTGGATGCCGAACACAAAGGAATCCCCAGTTAGTCTCCCTCTGGTTTTCCTTCTGGTGTCCCCACCCGTAGCCCCTGCAGTGCTAATCCTTGCCCTCTTTGGGTAGATGGTGTTCGGAGGACACACAGACCTGTTACTGACTCTCGCCTTTTCTCTCCTCTGGGTCTGCAGGCTGCTCTGGAAATGCTGCTGCTGCGGAAGCCAGTCAGGTTAAAATGCCATCCTTTAGCAAATTACCATTATGCCGGTAGGTTGCCAGAGCCCTGTGCCCTATTGCTCCCTGCGGGTGGGCTGCTTGCATGTTTGGTTGTGGCACTTCTGACTAATGGATAACACCAGTTCGGTCCTAATTGCCACTTGTGAGCTCAAGGCTTCTGGGGTCTAGCTGGCAGGGGCCCATGAGTCTATTGGCTCAGCACTTTATGTGAGTGCCTGCCCCTCACAGGTGCACCAAGACCTGGGTGGCAGTGAGACCAGAAGGATCCACAGAGGGTATGGCACAGAGCCAACAACAATCAGCAGTCCCCAGCCTTGGAATCAGTACCATGGGTTCCAATCTGACTGCACACCTTGGCCTTCTGCAGCCTTGCGTTTCTCCCCTATAAAGTGGGGCTCCTATTCCATCCCTTGTAGCAATTTTGTGAAGATTAGCGGTAATGTATGTAGCCCAATGCCTGGCACATCCTGGTAGCTATTATTATTCATTTATTCCACAATTATTTATTGAAAGCTCACTATGTGCAAGGGACTGTGCTGGGCACTAAAATGCAATAGGGACTAGGACAGATACAGACATGGTCCCACCTCATGCAGTTTTGAGTCTCAGGAGGAGGCAGTTACTAAACAATGGGTCACTCTAATGGCAGGAGAAAGACTTCATACACACAGGGTCTTGTGAGTGTGTGGGTTAATGATCGCACCACCGTAAGAGAGAAGTAGACAACACTTTTGACGTTTGAATGGAGTGAGAATTGTGAAGAGAGAACCAGACAGGTTGGGGAGCCCAGGAGGTGATGACTGAGGCTGAGGTCAGCGTTTTTATCTCCATTAACTGTGATACACCTCTCCATTCTGAGGGTCTCCACGAACTGCCTTGGTTCTCTGTTTGAAAGAATACAGAATCCTCTGATGTCCCTTGACTTTTAATCATTTGAGGTTTTCTTTGGTGACTTGGGCAGACCCTGCCTAGGCAGGTGCTAAATACATAGGCTTGGGGACTTAGTAATACCTTTTCCGATCTTTGATCCAGGTGGCCAGAGATGGCTTCAGGTGAGGGCTTCTTTACAAATGCTGGCACATTCTCAGTGGGCTGTCTTTTCCCAACACCGTCTGCCTCGCCTGATGTGCTCCTCCTCTCTCACGCAGTGGCTTTCCTGCCTGTCATCACAAGGTAGAAAGGCCTTGAAGCCCCTCATCTAAGCACAGCAAGCCCAGGGATGTCTGTGCCGGCACAAATTGGACACACGGGATAAGAAATCCATCGTTTAACCAGTGGCCTAAAGGAGCCAGTTTCTTAATATTGTCTCCATCATTTCCTGCTTGGTGTCTGCCCTGAGTATGGGTAGAAAGGTGTGGGAATTCTCCCTAATATGCCCTGGAAACAGTCCTGTTTTCTCTTAATTCCCAGTATCATCTGCTGCCCATTAAACGCCGATGGGCTGTCCAACCTCCTAGAGCCTATGTCAAGCTTCTTTGCATGGTGGGTGAGACAGCAAGTTGGCTAAAAGGAGCTTCCCGGCCATGTGCTGTGAGATGCTGCTGCCCTCAGCTATCAGGGTGGCCTGGATGGCCAAGGTCGCAGAGCCTCTGGGTTGGTCAACTCCAGCTGTCAGCAACTTCAACTTCAAATCCCTTCCAGTTCTTCCCAGTGTGCCAAACAAGTATTGCTATTCTTATGTGTGCCGTGATATGAAAAAGGTCAGAAACCTATGGACTGGAAGCCCCACACCTCCCCAAACAAGACAAAACAAAAATACTAAAATATTATCAAAAACTTTGAAACTAGAGGACCCTAAACTTTGCTAAAATTAGTTGGTCTTTTGAGGTTGGGGGTTCCTAGCTAATCCCTTGCCTATCCCCTGCCCCCTTCCCCCACAGGCAGACCAGGAAGGGCTCTGCTGCTTTCTGGAATCATTCCGACCCTTAGAAACAAGAGAGGTGGGGCTGAGCTGTGAAGGGTTGGTGTCCCCAAGAGAAGGGTGCTCACCTATGTCTGCCAGTCACTTGCCTTCTTCAGGAAGTGATCACAGATTGGGACTGGACCCCAGAGAATTTTCTAGAATGAGCAAAAACGGCAGAGGTCACTGGTCTCTAAAGTCTGCCCCCCAACCATCCCCTTAATGGTTCCTTTACAAGCCACAGGGGAGGCAGCAGAGTCTACCCCATCACATGTGGCAGCTGCCAGCCACCAACCACCTCATTCCCCCACTTCTGCCCCTGCCTCCCTTGGTCCCCAGGTGTCAGTGAATCCCATCTCCATGGCCCCATCCTGCCTTGACCTTTGCGCTAAGCCCTGTTGGTTGCTCTCCTATATGGACGTCTCTTGGCTTAATTCTAACTTCACCGGGACACTGTCTTCTGGATCTCCTTTGGCTTCTGACTCTGCATCTATAGCCAGTGTCACCCACCCCAACTCCCAGCCCTGAATTTGCTCTTCAGGCTCCTAGTTATCTAGGGAGGGAGTTTAGGTCTCCCAGACCTGTCTGTGCCCTGGAGGGAAGGCAGCCAGCCTGGACTTAGGGGAGAGAGGCTGCAAGTTTGGAGGAGAAAGAAACACAGGCCTGTGGAAATCACTTCCTTTCTTTACTCATTATCTTCTTTTTCCCAGCCATCCCAAACAGTTAATTAAGAAAAGGAAAAAGCGACCAATGCTGGGACCCAGGAGAGACATACCAAGAGGAAAAGGACTGGTGGGGTGGGCAACTTACCCAGATCTAAGGGCTGCCTGGCAAGGCCAGAAGAGCCCTCTACAAGATCCTTAAAGGAAGGTGCTGTTGCAGTGGTTCCTGGTGCTCAGTTCACGCCAGGATGCACGGTCCAGGCCTCTGTCCCCCTCTCAGCACCCTTCCACCCACGTGTGCATAGCAGTTGTTTGCAGTTGTTCCCATGAGCACTTGCACTGGGTGGAGATGGGCCGCGCGTCAGGGAGTCAGGCGGGGGAGGACGCCTGGTTGTGATTAGAAGGATTGCAGCATCCTTGACTCTCCCATTGACCTGGTCATTCCTGCAGATGGGTGCAGAGTGGAGGGGGCGTTAGAACTGACCCTGGCTTTTTGCCAAGAGTTCAGCAGAGGCTACTGTCAGCTCTAACAACAGCCCAAACACTCACTGGGTCCTGAGACCCTGACCTGAGCTCTGGAGACGGGGGAGACCTGGGAGAAACATTCATTCCGTTGGAAGAAGCCTGGTCTCTGCCTTGGAAGCTGCCCCAGTTAGATGAGGAAACAGAATTACATACTCAAGAGAATACTTAGCAAGAAACGCAGCTGTGATTTCATTTTCCAGGCATTCTTAGCCCGTGTCTCTAGCTAGATAGTGGTCCCCACAAGGGCAGGAACTGAGTTAATATTCTCTTGCTTTGCCTGACACAGCACTTGTAGATAAACACTTAGTGGACAAGCTCTAATTCTGGATTCAGATTGAGGCCTCCCTCCCTTTTGCCCCCAAGAGGACATTTGTAGCAACCTGCTTCACAGAGTGCCTTTAAAAAAGTTATTCAGCCTTCCCCCACTGTGGAAAACCCTACCCGGAAATGAAGACCTGGTGTAAAAGCAGTTCTCTTTTTTTCTACAATCAACATGTCTTTCTTGTGTAACTGCAATAACATCAATAGAAGTTTTAAAAGTCCAGAAAGAAGACAGAAAGGCCCTCTAAAAGTTACTATGCCCAAACTGTCACTCTCCCATGTCTCTTTTTAATTGCCTGTGTTCACTGTAGATGGCCACAAAATTAGCCACAGTCCGGAGCCTGTTTCCCAGCAACCGAAGTTCAAACAGTTTTCTTCTAGATACTGTTCCAGCACCTGATTCATCCAGTTAATTAGGTTCTTTGTAATTAGCTTTAATCGTCTTGTTAGGGGCCTGCTGATAATAGCCCAATAGCCAGGAATCCCCAGGTAGAACAAATGAGTCTCAGGGGACTGTCAGCCCACTAACCCGGTGCGCATGCTGAGTGGGCAGGAGGGGTCTTAGAGAGAAGGGAGGGCAAGGGCGGACGCAGTGGCTCATGACAGTAATCCTAGCACTTTGGGAGGCCGAGGCAGGAGGACTGCTTGAGCCCAGGTGGGAGACCAGCCTGAGCAAGAGTGAAATCCCATCTCTACAAAAAATAGAAAAATTAGTCAGGTGTGGTGGTACATGCCTGTAGTCCTAGCTACTCAGGAGGCTGAGGCAGGAGGATCACTTGAGCCCAGGAGTTTGAGGTTGCAGTGAGCTATGATGATGCCACTGCACTCTATACAGGTTATCAGAGCAAGTCCCTGTCTCAAAAAAAGAAAAAAAAAAAGGTAGAGGAGGATCTGAGGCAATCCCCTGCCTCAGCAACCTCCTGCATTTTATCCTGAATTGTGTCTAAGCTTCAGAATCCAAAAAGGCTGGCTTACAACCTCATCTAAAAATGAGGACTGTGCCCCTATCAGACAGACTACAGGAACAAGAGACACCTGAGCCTTACCTTGACTTTGGCTTGCAGAGGGATCTTGGAGGCAGGGAGTAAGAGACCATGGAAGCTATGAGCAGCCAGGAGTGAGGCTGGGGCTCATAAGTATAAGGAACAGGGAGCTCTCACGAGAGCAGGCAGTCTTCCCGAGTGCCACTGTACACACATCAGCAGGGGACAGCACTTGTCTCATAGCCCTGGGCTGATTTGGAATCTGCTCTCCAAGTGGCCAGTGAAGATCCAAAACATCTATTAAGCACCTACTTAGGAGCAAACGCTGTCAGTCACAGGGTGGCTGCCACCATCCTCATGTCACAGGTGAGGAAACTGAGACTCAGAGACTTGCCTGGGGCCACAGAAGGATAAATGGCAGAACTGGGTTCACAGCCTAAGTTTTCCTGACTAAAGTCACCCTTTTTAATCACAGCTTGGTGATACTAGTTGGAGAGAGCACATTCAGTTGTTATGTAATCATAGGAGGCTTTGGCCTGGGAATTCAGCCCGAGAGCCCAGGGGTGGGGTGTCAGCCTTGGTGGACAGGAAGGCAGCTCCAGCGTGAGAGTGTGAACAGACGTGTTGTCTGACCCAGCCTCCCTTCTTGCTTTGCATGCGCCCAGTTGGACAGACGCACACACACACAGCATTGTCATGTGCACTAAAGCAAGACCCTAGGACTAAAGCCCTCTGTTACTGTCTAAGCCCATGCTCCCTGACCAACCCCCTGCAGCACCGAGGGGAAGGGAGTGTGCAGCCCACGTCCCACCTAGGATCAGGGAGACAGAAGAGTCCATCACGGAGCAGCAGTCCTGAGAACCATGAGAGTCGGCAGGGGGAAGGTCTCCTTCCCCATAAGGTTTGGGGATCCCCCAGAGCAGGATGAGACAGGAAGCTACTTCACCTTCTGTGGGGTTGCATCTGGTAGCCATTTGGAGACACGAAGGGACATGCTTCTCAGTGGTAAACAGCCCCTGCTTTGGGGGCCAGAAGTCAGATGATGAGCCCAGCATGAGATGGAAGGAAGTGAATCCACTGTAGAGACGGGTGCTGGCCTGTGCAGTCTGGACAGCCCTGTTGGTGTCCCGCCATGTCTCAGAGCAGCACTCAAACTCAGGAGACGTTTGGTCTGGCTGAGGTTGGGAAGAACTATCATTGATCTATTAATAGTTGAGGGCTTCATCTGTCCCCTGATTCTACATCTGAGATGCAACCAAGGGCTACTCAGGCTCTGGACGTGCAGTGGGGCAGCACGTCAGCCTCCTTATTGTGACATGTTGCCATCGTGATCTTCCTCCATCATCATCTTTCGTACCCCTTCTACCTGTTCGCTGTTTTGATGGATACCTAAAAGGAACCTTGAGTGTTCTTTGGCTGTTGAACTAAATCGTTGGTTAACCCATTCTGTCTTCCTCTGTCTGCGTCTGCTCCCAGGTAAGGGGAGCGTATGGGAGCTGGAACCCAAGGCCTGGGATGTTGTTCGGGATTTGAGGGATGGTGATGGAGCTGCTACAGAGCCTTGGCCCCACCCACCTTCTCTGCTCACCTGCGTCCCAGCGAGGCTTCCCCAGCTCCCAGCCCCCTTCCCTCACTGCTGCTGTGGTGTGCACAGCCTGAGATGTCCGGGCCTCGAGAAGCCTGTGAAAGATGTTTCCTTCTGCTGAGGATTCATTGGAAAGCTGCTTTCCTTGTAGAAGTAAAGCGATACACTTGTAAACCAAATAACTTGGGCGGTAACCTTGCTTTTTAGAAATCTGAACCAGTCCAGGTGTGGAGAGCATATTCTGAGTCTAGAGCCAGAGCTCTTGGCTTGCAGACCCATCAAGGACTCGGACAGAGAAGGTGTTCGTTTAGGAAATCTGCGTTTTCACTGGGCCATGTATTCTCTCAAGGATCTGTAAGTGGGATCTCCACTTACAGTCTAAGGAGGGCCCCGCCTGCCCAGAGCAGTTTCCTTGATCCACTTATTTTGGCAAAATCTTAAAAGGGAAGAGGCGATTCAGGTCTCCCATACTTTAGCCCCATTAGTTGACCATAGCAAAATGGAAACCTTAGACTTGCCCTAGATGAGAAGAAAGATACCATGGTTTGGGGTTCTAGAGCTCTGAGCAGAGGTGCAGAAATGTCAAAGGCTTGGCCGTGTACCATCCAAAGGATCAGAGAGGTGGAGAATTCAGCAAGCCAGAAGAATGGGGCTGAGTTCTCTGTAAACCAGCTACAGATGTCGAACCCTGCCTAGAGCCCCCAGAAATAGGAATCCCCTTAGAAATAGGCCTTATTTTCTACCCCAGACAAGCCAGTACCTGGCAATATGATTATCTGCATATCTTGCTTTCTCTTTTATGGAGGAAAAAGATGTAACTGTCAAGTTTAGTCAGCAAGGTAGATGTACCACCCCAGGACCATGGAGTCTCTTCCCACATCATTGGTCTGCAAATCTGTCAAGAACAGTTCCAGCTCACCTCTGGCCTCATCTGCTTTTCCTCTGCTGGAACTCTAAACCTGAACCATACAGGATTACTGATTATTCTTTGAATACTTCCATTTCTTCATCTGTAAAATGGGATAATGGTAATACCGATCTTACAGGGTTGTTACTAGAACCAAATGATTAATAATTGTAAAGGACTTAGAAACTGGCACTTATAAATGGTAGGTGTTTTTTCCTACCACAGCCCTTTGCTTGGTAACAGATACATCTAAAAGTATCTGTTGAATGAATGAATGAAGTGCATCACCCCACTCTTGCCTCTGACTTTGCACATACTGCCTGACTTGTTTCTATGTGTCCTTTAAAACCCAAGTGTTTTCTTTATCTGGAAGCCTTCCCGGCTGCCCTGGCCCTAACCTGAGTAGTGTGGTGTTCCTCTGTTATGCCCCACTTGTCACCTTGACCTTTATAATTACAGTGATAATGTAGTGGAATGCAGTGGCCAACAGCTTTGTCTCCCACTGGATTGTGAGCATCTGGAGGGGGGAGGGTGGAGACAGGTGAATCCAGCCACACCCTGAAGAGTGCTTGCCACATGCATGCTTGCGTTTGTGAATGTGATAATTACATAAAAACTATACCTAAAAGTTTTTGCACACTTGCTTCCTAGTTATTAAGCTGGACACTTGGTGCATTATATTCTTTTAACCTTCAGAAAAATCCTAAGCAATGAAGACAATATAACTATTCCCACTTGTAGGTAACAAAACTGAGGCTTAGGATAAGTAACTTGCCAAGATCAAGGCCATAGCTGGGATTTGAACCCAGATGTCAGAGCTGCTGACCAAGACATTACACTGTGTTTTTGTTCCAACAGGAGTTTGCTTATCTATGATATCACTTGCTAGACAGTTGGTGTTTTGTAAATTAACCACATGAACCAGAAACTAAACGCGGGGAGGACTGTGAGCTGTTCTTACGAAGTTTGTGTTTTGTTGTAGGTTCGGACAAGTGGACCTCCCTAGAAAGAAAACTGTTCAATAAAGCACTAGCCACTTACAGCAAAGACTTTATTTTTGTACAGAAGATGGTAAGCACGGTTTTCCCCATTGCACACTTGAAATTAAATTTGGGAAGCTGTACACATACAGAAATATTAGAATATTTCTAGAAATATTGGTTGCTGGTTTAATGTTCATGCATGATGCATGGCTTCCACCCTTGCTGGAGAAGAGTGGTAGGTGACAGAGGGGTGGCGCGGCCCCAGTGTTGGGGGGCACAGGGGAGAGGACGAGGGAAAAAAGGACATGGATTATTTGGACACTGCAGTGATGGGGTTATTTTCTATCTGAGTAAAAAATGTATAATTCATAATTCTGTCAGAATTACTAGAACAGGGGCTTCTGGTTCACGGTTTACACACTTTATTTCATGTGTATTTGACAGATCTATCATGTTTCTCACAGAATTTTTTTCTGGGGAATCGGGGAAGGGAGGATATGTGGCCTCTCCCTACCCAGGATCAGAGTTTTTGGTGTTGGACTTGTAATTATGACAGTAATAATAAAAATAACACCTGACATGTACAGCATTTTATAGCAAAGTAAAACTCCTTCACATAGTTGAAATAACACTTTATATTACAGATAATACATTTAATAGGCTTTAATTGGCTGAGAGGTATTTTAGGCTAAAAAAAAATTAAAACAGCCAGGCATGCTGGTATGTACCTGAGGCAGGAGCATCCCTTGAGCCCAGGAGTTTGAGACCAGCCTGGGCAGCATAGCAAGACCCCATCTCAAAGAAAAACAAAAAGTTAAAATGATTCACAGTGTTTCAACAATCTCATAAATGATGGAGCCATATTGTATTAAGTGTAATTTAGGATGTTCGGGTACACCGAGAACAGGGTCACAGGTGACAGCTCCCACCGGCTCCTGGCTGGGCCGGATGGTCCCCAGTGGTGGTTTGGGGTGGCAGGTCTCCTGTCGTGAATCCAGGGCCTTGTCTAGAGGAGCATCCGAAATGGGTGGGCTTTGCCTCTGACCTGGCTCTGCCTCCATCTGGGCATTGGCGCCTGCCTGTCCTGCCACCGTGCCCGTTGCCGCCCTCTTTGCCAGCAGCTCCCGCATGCCTATCTTTCTTGAGTGACCCTCCCCCAAGGACAGCCCTGGCCTGGGCCCCGCTCCTGGAAGGCCCCACACTGCCGATGGATGGTGGATTCTTGTGTTGTGCTCGCCAGGAAACTTGGGTTTTAAACAAGGGATGATTCTGGTGTAGAAATTCCAGATGTCAGGAGAATGTGACGGGGGCAACTCAGGTGGTGTCCTTCCCATCTCTCCATGTAGGTGGCCGTGTTCCACCCCAAGGCTGGGGCCAGCCTTCACTCTGCCTCCAGAAAACCCACATTGCTGACCCAACCAGAGTGTAGAGATACACAGACCAAACAAAGGAATGTTTTTGCCTTAAAACGCATATCCCTTTGCATCTTTGAGGGCGAACCGGGCAAGGCTTGACTCCTGCAACATCTAAGCTCTGTCATCATAACTCTTGCCTTATATTTCCGTTCCATTATTAAGGAACATTTTTCATAAATAGATTTTGAAGGTCAAGTCAGACAGCTAAACATATTCAGGCATATTAAATGAAAAAGCACCTGCTTTGTGGGTTAAAAAAAAAAAAAAAAGTAAGGTCTGCAGGGACTGATCTGAAAAATTCTCCAAGCTGTATTGTGAAAAAAATCAAGTTGCAAAGCAGTATTGACAGTGGGCTGCCGAGTGAGAGGGAAGGTGGCATGGGGAGGAGTAAGTTTTCTGTTTGTTGCTACGTGCATGAAGAAATTCTGGAAAGATAACCAGGAGATTAATACAAGAGGCTACCTGTGTTGCAGGACAGGTGTAGGAAGGAGGCTTTTCATTGTATACATTTTTTTTTTATTGAACTGTATAAACCCGTTTATTACCTATTACAAAATTAAATGTTCAGGGAAGCTCACCGCCTTGACTCTGCTACCAGAGCTAACCTGGAGCTCCCTTTCCTGGCAGGTGAAGTCAAAGACGGTGGCTCAGTGCGTGGAGTACTACTACACGTGGAAAAAAATCATGCGGTTAGGGCGGAAGCACCGGACACGCCTGGCGGAAATCATCGATGACTGCGTGGTGAGTGAAGCTGCTCAGTGGCTGCTCGCGCTGGCGCGGCCCCCGCCCCGCTCCCCGGCCAGTAAGTGGCTGGCGTTTGCTTGGCTTTGCTGCCAAAACAGCCAGACAGCGGAGGGCTGGGGTGACAAAGGCCCCGATCCCTGGCAGGGTGCAGGACTCTTGATGATATAAGTAGGGAAGGCACCCTCAGATCTGGCCTGGGGCTTGGTGTTTAGTTACAGGGGCGAGGACTGGCTCCAGCTTCAAGGCAGGTAGGAGCCAGGAGAGTCAAACCAGGCTTAGTTCCAGCTTCGGTTTGGTTGGTTTGTAACTGAGTGTCCTGGCCCCATGGAATGTTCTTTTCTGATCCTTCCATGTCATAGGTGCTATTGACCTGAGACCATAACAGGCCTCAGAAAGATAAAGGAGCCCTAGGATTTTGCCACAGTCCCTGTGAAGCGCGAGCAAGCATGGCTTTGACCTCCAGATAGTGGCCGGGAACCCTAATCACAAAGGAACTGGTTAGCAGTGTGCAGATGATTCCACTCCTACATCACCGTGTGTCCCTGGCATGGATTTCCTTCATTGGCAGATAATGCAGAGTCACCCACATGTTAAGATTAAGTTACATACTGAAGACGGAAGATCTAACTAGTCTCTGAACCCTGTATCTGTGGCTTTGGTAACTACTGCCACTTGTGATCCTTGTCATTAACTCTCCTCTCTGCAGCCACAGCCAGGGAAATCTCTTCACGCTCTGTGGAAAACATTACCTACCATATTTGTGTGTAGAAAAACATTTGTCTTACAACAAATGACTAAACTCTAGCCTCTGTCATCCTCAGCAGAAGTGTTTGGAATTCATGAATTGTGCGGATACTTGTAATTATATTTTCATTCCCAGTTGTGCCCCAGTTGTAAGGGTTATTAGCACATATGTTGGTTATTTTCTGTAACAATTAAATAGTACTTGCTTTGTGCCAGGCATTGTGCCAGAGACTTTATAAATACTGACTCACGGAACCCAATTTAATTCATTCAATACCAATTCTACGAGGTAGGGAGCTGGGGCGCAGAGCTTAAGCACGTTGGCCGTGTGTGTGCTACCTGAGCCTGACCCCGTGCAAGGCTGAGAGCAGCCACGCAGATTTCCTTAGAGAAGTATGAAAACGCCTGGACTCATTAATGCTTCAAAACCAAAGCTCTTAACTAAGAATTGATCCCAGCTATGAAATAATACACACATATATAAATTTATGCTTGGGCCCAAATACCAGAGAAAATAGAAATGGGTAGAATAAAATGATATTGCCATTTTTTTAGTCAGAGATGGCAGTATTCTACATTCAGGGCTTCCTGTGACCAAGGCTTTGGTTTGATAGGTTTTAAGTAGGGACGTATTATATCAGAATAGCTTTTGCTCATCTGTGGCCTAATGTTTAAGTAAACGGTATGGCCTTCTCTGGTTCAGTCAGCTAAAAGCAACTGAATTCCCACAGTGTAAACAGTAATATGTATCCGTGCTCTGGGTAACCTGAGGACGTTAAATGGCCTCTGCCTCCTCTTCCCCCACCACCCAGAGCATGCACCCTGGTTGGGAAGATGTCATACACACAAGTGGGAAGTTTACCATAAACCCCAAGAGTGCTTAAAAGCAGTATGAAATGTGAACCAGACATTCTTAGATAATAGCCTTAAGGACTCTCCCACCCGACTCCACCATTTTACAGGCAGAAGGTTGAGACCCAGAGAGGGAACAGGGCTTGCCCAGGGTCACACAGAGGGCCTTGCTTTCCAAATGAGTAGAACAGACATTAAAACGGGGAGCACACAGAACCCCAGCCCTGCAGACCTAGGACTGGCTCCTAGGCTTGCTGACATGTAACATGGGGCAGATGATTTAGATGATTTGGAAAGTCCTTTCCAATTCTAGAATGTTCTGGGCTCTGTCAGTACCATGTTTCGGAAGAGGGCAAAATGAGAGGATGTGATCTCCTAAGGTAAAATAGGTGTCTCTTAGGCTTGGGTGTTACCTAGGACAGCGCCTGGCACAACATGGGCACTCAGTAAATCCTTGTTGAATGAATGTTTTCCCGAGATAGGCATCACTCTGGTTTGTAGAGCATTCCTCTGTGAACTCACTGGAGGGAGGTGGAAGGAGCACGGGGATGCTCAGTGGAGGAAGGCTGCTAATGAAGGTGTTACCCTACAAGGCAGGGCACCGTCTTGAGCTGCCCCGGCTCTGAAGATGGGTAGAAAGGCCCAGGCCAAAGTGTAGCCTGAGACCAAGGAGGAGAGGTTAAGACGGGGCCCAGGGGGGGCCGCACCTTCTTAGGCGTATTCCCCGGGAACCAGTATCAGGCTGGGTCAGGAGCATCCACACCCTCTTCACTTGTGAGCGCAGAGAAAGCAAAGGGCTTATGCGCAGAGATGACTCAGGCCCACGAAAACAAGAAAATCTTGATGTAAGTCCAGCAAGGTAGCGTGCGGCTCCTTTGTGGGCACTGTGTGCACAGTCAGCCTTCTGGGCATAGTTTGCCAAGTGGGGATGAAAAACTGAGTTCACACAAGGACTGGGGAGGGTGCAAAAGGTGCAGTCCTAGGACATGACCCTGCCCTTTGTCCTTTGGGCCTGCCTGGGACACCTGGGATGGCTCTCCTGATTCTGTACCTTCAGTGTCTTGCAAAAGGGCAGCTGACCATTTTACATCAGATGGAACATGAAGGAACGTGCTCAGGTAGCTCAGGGGTTATTGAGGACTTCAGGGGGAGACGGGAACAGAAGGAGGTTTGAAAGGAATGATCACTCTTTAGGTAGCCAGGAGGTCAACAGAGCGCAGCTGTTCACTCAGTGGGGGCAGTTTGACTTCTGGCCTGAGCCGTCACTGGCCCCTTCCCCCTGGGAGACAGAGGAAGGGGGCCAAGGTGGGTTCTGATGGGGAGGTGGGGTAGAGGGTGCTGACCACACCTTCCCGTCCCCTGCCTGTGCTCACACTCCACAACTCAGAACAAATCTGTGGGGCTGGCTGTGACCAAAAGTCACCACAATTCAAGAAACCAACTGAGGCAGTTAACCAAGGTTGGGAACCAGCAGTCCGGGCTCCAGGGCCCAGGGTGGCGCTCACCCACAGAGTCAGTGCCAGTCCCCCCGCAGCGTGGTCCATCGACCAGAGCCTTGGGAAACGTCCTCCTTCCCTTCGACACTTCAAGGCAACTGGCTCCAGTGGTTTCGAGGGGTTTAGGATCTGTAGCTGCTTACAGATGGACAGACTGCACTTGTGGAAGTTTGCAGCTGGACCAAGGAGTAAAGAAGGCTGAGATTTCGGAGTCAGGCCAGGTTTCGAATTTGAGTTCACCTTCTTTACCAGCTATGTGACCTTGAGAAAATGACTTCTCTGGCCAGTTTCCTCAGTTGTTTAAAAAAAAATTTGCACAGTATTAAGAGAACTAAAACTGTGTATGTGTGCACTTGCACACGTGTGTGTGTGCATGTGTGTGATGTGTGATTCGTAGCAGACATTCAATACATTGTCATCATCATTATCATTAGTGACACTATCAAATAACACTCAAAGCTGTATCTTTGAGCAAATTTGGGTTGTTTAGTGTTTGTATTCTAACTTACCAGTTTCTCATAATATGAATATCATTTGTATGCCTGAAAAAATAAAAATATCCTCCTCAAGGAACTCTTAACTGTGGACATTCAAGGTTTTGAGAACCATGTTAAATACAGTAATAACCTCCTCCCCACCCTGTATTTGCCCGCCTTCTGCTAATTTTGGAATATTACTAAATGTTTTATTTCACAATACATCATAAAATGGCCAACTTGTTGATACAAAGTTCTACCAGGTTAAAATTATTGTCCTACTATCTTTGTATCTCTTAGTCACTTTGGTGAGCCATATGGCTTGATGATAAATCATTGTGTGATTTGTAGATTACCAGTTGAAATAAAGCCTATCTAATTCCTGAGACATGCATAATGACAGTACAGTATAACTTAATCTATAATATTATGGCTATATGGAGTATTTCTTCTAAGAGTATATAAGCCCAATAATGGCATCGTGAGAAAATTATAATTATAACATGTACCATGAAACAAATGCCATTCTCATTAGGAGTTATTGAGTAATTCATTTTCAATGCCAAATTGTAGGGCATGGTCTGCTTAATAATTGAGACCACAGTGTCCCTGTTCTATTAATATAAAGGAATGGGACAAACCCTCAGAGTTGGACATAAAATGCTTTTGCCTGAAACTCAGGGACTGAAAGACGGTGAAGTCCTAGAGGAACAAGACCGTCTGTATGAAATCAGCTTGTATGTTCCGTGCTCGTAAGAGGCCCGCAGCTTATATCATAAACTGCTCTGACAGATGCATGAGGCCTCCTACGTCAGTGTTCATTAAGGTCTTCCAGCAAACGTAATCATCACTAATTAATCCTATTTAACCTACTAGAAACTGGGGCTGTTTCTTAAATACATCCTTGTTCGTACATCATCTTGAACATGCATCTGCAGGATGCTGACTGTGGACAGTCCTGAAACAGTAGCGGGCGTGCTACCTGCCTTCATTCTCACCAGCATTGCGTTTCTCGCACACGCACAAACCCCACATCCAAACTGCAGAGGGGAAGCGCGTGGCTTCTGTATCCCAGGGCACTGCTACTCTCAGAAATCTTTATTCTTGGAAATTCTTGCTCTGGCTTCTAGGACTCAGAGGCCTCCTAGACTTACATCACTGTGAGGGGCCCACATGCTTGGAGCGGTGGGTGTGCAAAGAGAGCCTGGCAGAGTCAGATACCTGCCAGGCCACAGGCAGCTGCACGTGCCTTTTCTTCCCTCGTTTGTGACATTGGAGGACTATTTACAGCCTTCTTGATGACATAGTAAATGTGAAAACACTTTGTAAACCGTAATATAAGCTGAAATGAGACTGATAGAACACTGAATTCCCTTCCTCTGGCCCTCAGCCCTTTCTGGGCCTGCAGGAGCCAACACCCTTTACCCCTCCTCTGGGAAGGACGGAGAGAGCAGAATACAGTAGTTGGTTAAGTAAGAGGTAGAATGAGGGCCTCCCGGGCCGCCCTTCCATCCCAGCATGCCCAGGGCACCTGCTTCCAGCTGCTCCAGTGACTGACTGTTCTGTTAACCTTAAGGAGGGCAGGGACCTTCTGCTTAGTTCTCATGTGGCTGTTGATCTGGAGTGGCGAGAGGGGACCTAGAAGCAGAAGGGATGATTACTCACAGAAAATGTTTTTCTTGTTCTTTTTCATACAATGCCCACAAGGTAGGAGAAAATGAGTGAATAGGAAGCCTGAATGCACTGCTTTTTCCAAGCCCATGGTCAGAGACAAAAGAAAAAACCACATGAGAAATAAAAGGGAATCCCCTTCCATTTTCCCTCCTTTCGTTCTATTTTCTGATGAGGCCGGAGCGGGGGCGTCCCCTGTGCGGTGTGCTCTCCACGCTCCGTGGGCCAGATCAGGCGTCTTGTGCCGCTGTGCGTTCTAAAGCCTGAAAAGCAGACTGTGGTTGGTCTGCAGTCTGTCCCCAAGGGGGTTTCCACAGTAGTGCTACAGCTCGAAATCCCTCCTCACGGCTGCGAGGGACAGAGGTGTGGTCATTTTCAAGATCTGATGGTCTTGAACAAGGGGGATCTCTACATACAGGGATCTCTCCTCCGCCTCAGCGTCCGTTTGTCTCAGTGACGAGGGCACCCAAAGTGGAGCAGGGGGACTGACTTCCTGGACCTCAAAACTCCAAACGCCCAGACACCACCAGCCTTTTGGAGATTGTGCCCAGCGGGCCCTGTTGGCAGTTCCTCACGCAGAAAGAAAGCGACACAGCCCCGCATCCAGCCCCCCTCTCCTCCACCACTCTGTGAGTTCTGTGTGTCGCTAACAGTGCTCTTTGGGGATTTCCCGCTCTCGCTTTTATTACCCTAACACTAGACAAGTGAAGAAGAAGAAGAGTTAGAGGAGGAAGAGGAGGACCTGGAAGAAGATAGGAAATCCACAAAAGAAGAGGAGAGTGAAGTGCCGAAGTCCCCGGAGGCGCCGCCAGTCCCTGTCCCGGCCCCCACAGAGGGGCCGCCCCTGCCGGCCCTCGGCCAGCCCTCGGGCTCCTTCGTCTGTGAAATGCCCAACTGTGGGGCTGTAAGTGTCTCTGTGTCGTCTGGGGATCTGGGGCAAGTGCGGGCCGTATGGCTGTGCCTGGCTTTAGGAAAGAATGCATTTTTGAAAGCTTGTGCTGTCGGCAGTGCAGGTGTGGCCAAGCGCCCTCAGGTTGCCATTGCCGCCTTATCCATCTGGCCAACAGGTATTTTCAGAGGGCGTGTTCTGTGTCAAGTACAGAGCTGCGTATTGCAGGACACAGAGAAGGTCCCTGCCCACGGGAAGTGTGTCATTCTGAGCTCTGCAGCGAGTGTTGGCCTCCGGTCTATACTGGGTCCTCTGCACTGGCCTGGGCCATGTGTCAGTCACACAGGCTTGTGCCTGTCGGTGTGCACTTAAAAATGCACCAGGGGAGGCCGCAGACAAAAATCATCCTTTTATGACATACTTGCTTGCCCCTACCGCCTGCAGTTTTGCCTGTCTGGAAGCTTTTGCATTTCATAATTTCATGAAGTGTTACTAATTCAGATGTCACTAATTCGGAAATTTGAAAAAGTTGTTACAAAGATTTAGCTAAAGTTTCTCTGTACTCAGTGGGAGAAGAAAGATTTACTAAGTAAATTAATCATGTAAACAGGCTAAAAGAGTCTCATTAATTACTTAGCCTGGTACTTTCCAAGGACTTTGGAAGCATCATTTCGCTGAAATAAAACAAGTTCACCATTTGGTCATTCTTAGCACTAGAGGAAGGCCTTACAGAATCTGTACTGGCCTAGTCTAAAGCCCCATGTGGGCCGGGCGCTGTGGCTCACGCCTGTAATCCTAGCTCTTGGGAGGCCGAGGCGGGCGGATTGCTCAAGGTCAGGAGTTCAAAACCAGCCTGAGCAAGAGCGAGACCCCGTCTCTACTATAAATAGAAAGAAATTAATTGGCCAACTGATATATATATAAAAAAAAAAATTAGCCGGGCATGGTGGCGCATGCCTGTAGTCCCAGCTACTCGGGAGGCTGAGGCAGAAGGATCGCTCGAGCCCAGGAGTTTGAGGTTGCTGTGAGCTAGGCTGACGCCACGGCACTCACTCTAGCCTGTGCAACAAAGCGAGACTCTGTCTCAAAAAATAAAAAAAAAAAAAAAAAAATAAAGCCCCATGTGTATTTTCAAGGGTATCTTTAAAGGTTGTTTACTTTGGACTCATAATCTCCCACTGGTCCCCGACCAGTCTGAATTGGGGAACTTCTCCCAAATCAGGTTTCTTAAAGCCAGGCACATCTATATAGGCAAGTCCTAGAGGTATGACCCCCAAAATGAGAGTGTTGCTCCTTTCACAAGAAGTCCCGTTTTCCTCAGTTTAGCGTCTTGTCTTCACTTGAACCTGCTGTAGGACAGTACTGTTTCCAGAGTGTGTTGAAGGCTGCTTATCGAGCCTGTCACATGGATGGAGAAAGCAACAGTCCTTGAAATATTTAGATCCTAAAACAGAAATTCACTTGATTCACATTTTAAAAATGTGGGAAAAAAACATATGTATAAAATATCCCTTTTGCATTAGCTTTGGAGAGAACAGAAGAAATTGCAAGCTTGTTTCCGTCTTTGGTGTTTAATGACCTGGCCTCTTCACTCCATCATTGCCATTTTGTATAGAGCGCTTCAGTGCAGGGATGATTAAGATGTGACTTTAAATGACAGTATTTCTTGGTGGATTTGTTCAGAAATTGAATGCTTCCTCAACTCGTAGTTTTGGTATACAGTAAATTGTTTACCAAGTGGGAAGTCATTTTTTTTTTACTTTTCCCAATCAGAAATGCTCAGCAAGATAGATATTTTTTTAATGACTTTTTAAAAATCACAGGGGAAAAGGCATGATGGTTTCATTCCTTGCCTAACGGTGGAGGCTTTGGTTTCTAAATCGGCGATAGATTATTTTCTCTGTAAGACAATAAACAGAGCCCATGAACTTAACACAGAGCAACCACTGCAGCTGGACAGCTCAGCGGGTACTCCCTCTGATGAGTTTCACAAGCTGGAAATTGGGGCTCTTGGGATTCAGGGGTATGGATTACATCCCTCTATAGCAGTGGTTCTGAACTGGGGGTGATGTGTTCCCCCAAGAATATTTGGCAATGTCTGGAGACATTTTCATCGCTACTGGGAAGTGCTACTGCCATCTGGTAGGTAGAGACCAGAGATCCTGCTAAACACAGGATAACACAGGCACCCACAACAAAGAACTAGTCAGCCCAAAATGGAAGTAATGCTGAGGTTGAGAAGCCCTGCTTTATGGCAAGCTTCGAAATACCATCTAGGTCCTTCCTCTTTTATCACTCTGTATTAAAATTTGGGGGTTTTATTGCTTCAATAATGGACTACTGATTGAGGTTATGTATAATGTATAGAATATGCCAGTACCAAGTCAATGTCTTTCAAACTGTTTTGGGGGTCCTACGGCTTCCTGGGGGTTGATAGAACTGAGCAGACTGACTCGGTTCTGGGCTGCTGTCTTTGCAGCCAGAGCACCTCTGCTTTTAGGTTGAGCTTGAGCTTTTGAGTAAGACCTGATTTGTTAAAAAAGAAAGGAGGAAGGGAGGGGGGAAGAGAGGGAAGAAGGAAGAAAAATAGGAGGGAGGGAAGGAGGGAAGTAATTTTTGGCTTAAAAAAAAAGTTTGAAAGTTGGTCCAACCCCCTCATTTTACAGATGAAAAAAATAATAATAATACTAAAGTGTACAGAAGGGACTGGCCTAAGGGCTTTCCCGTTAGTTCCGACAGAGTGGATCTAGACTCCTGTCTCTTAACTTCTAGTTGGCAGCTTTGTCCTCTGTACTGTGCCACACCACCTCTTGCCTTCTGGTTATGACCGTGGTGAGGTTTTCATTGGCACAGCAATTGTGGTTGCAGTGTTTGATCCTTACTTTCGTGGGGTGCGACCAACGTTTACTTGTACAAAACCCTGTGCCCGTTTGTTAGACACTGTTTCAAGTACCACATGTTTACCATTGAGTAACTAATAACCCTAATTTCCTTTTCAGGACTGTAGATGTCATGTCACTCCCTTTCTTCCCCAGGTGTTCAGCTCCCGACAGGCACTGAACGGCCACGCCCGCATCCACGGGGGCACCAACCAGGTGACCAAAGCCCGAGGTGCCATCCCCTCTGGGAAGCAGAAGCCCAGCGGGGCCCAGAGCGGGTACTGCTCGGTGAAGAGCTCGCCCTCTCACAGCACCACCAGCGGCGAGACCGACCCCACCACCATCTTCCCCTGCAAGGAGTGTGGCAAGTAGGTGCAATGGGACCAGGGACTAAGTTTGTGATGGATGATTGCTCTGTGAGGACCAGGCCCAGGCGGTCTGAGGTTTCTTCAGCCAGAAAAAGAACCTAGAGTCTTAGACTCTCAAAACTCTTATTTTACCGGGCGCGGTGGCTCACACCTGTAATCTTAGCACTTTGGGAAGCCAAGGCAGGCGGATCACTCAAGGTCAGGAGTTCAAAACCAGCCTGAGCAAGAGCGAGACCCCGTCTCTACTAAAAATAGAAAGAAATTAATTGGCCAACTAAAAATATATAGAAAAAATTAGCTGGGCATGGTGGCGCATGCCTGTAGACCCAGCTACTTGGGAGGCTGAGACAGAAGAATCGCTTGAGCCCAGGAGTTTGAGGTTGCTGTGAGCTAGGCTGATGCCACAGCACTCTAGCCCAGGCAACACAGTGAGACTCTGTCTCAAAAAAAAATGAAAAAAAAAATTTTAAAAATAAAACTCTTATTCGTCTTTGGGATCTATACAGTGGACCTTGTCTCTGGCTCAGAATGTGGCCATTCTGACATCTTAGAGCCTGCTAAGGATGGACATCTTTAGAGAGTGAACCTCTAGTGACAGAACTTCACTCGTTTCCAGAAGTGGTAGGTGGGACTCTAACTCCCACTTCTTCCCTTCACACTTAAACCATATTCATTAGTGTCACTCTCTTTGCATCCCTGTGGAATGATTTGAGAATGCCTCTAGAACACCTAATCAGGAACTCTCTATAGCAGAGAGATGGCTCATACATGGTCCCATACCACTACTGCTCACTTCTCTGCACAGGGCAGACATCACTAATCAATCACCACACTCGGCTATCACATTAAGACAGGGCCGCAAATCCTTTTCATTGTAACACTTGAAGCTGGCACAACCGATTGATCAGAGTTGACATAGAAGATAAAACCTATTTGTCACCCTGCCTCTTTAGGTATAATTTAAAACAACTAAAAGGGAAAGGTGACAGGAGGTAGCAGTGATAACAGCTAACATTTACTGAGCACTTATTATGTTATATGCTTTATGTGCATGAACTCACTTAGTCCTTACACAGAAACTGTGTAATGCAAATACTGTTTTCATTCTTGTTTCACAAATAAGTGTTTAAAGTTAGGTAAAATTACTTGCCTGGGATCGTACCCCCAGTAGAGAGCAGAACTGAGATTTGAACCTGGCTTTGTCCAGATGCAGAGCCTGGACTCCTGAGCACGGCTTAATGCATTATTTAGTTTAGGTAGAAAATACCATTGATGGTGAGATGCTGATTCCCTCCGACAGCATCTAGTAGAGAATTCCAGTTTGCTTCTCAATGAGTCTGCCTGACTCAAAGAGTATCACATTGTCATTCTCTTCCCATAATTCCCAATGCCCTAGAATAGGGGTTCTCAAACTTTTTAAACAGGGGGTTTAAACAACTTTTAAATGGTCTGTCCCTCAGACCATTGGAGGGCCATTGGAGAGTACGGTGCACATTCCACACATGCGCACTGTGGGCCTGGGATGAGCTGCTAAGCAGGACAAGCAAAAACACCCGGTGGGCCGGATAAATGTCCTCGGCGGGCCGCATATGGCCCATGAGCCGTAGTTTAAGGACACCTGCCCTAGAACATGGAGAGAAGTGTTATCTGCACAGATGCCAACCAGGTAACTGCTGAACTCTACCATGAAAACATTCATAGTTGTAAACTAGGCCAAGTGGGACCTCTGCTATCCTATCCTAATGGAATAGAGCAGGTACCTTAGAGTTAATAGTAACTGCCGTTTATTAGGGACTCACATGTGCCTGGCACTCTTTTAAAGGATTTTTTACATGTTGTCTTAGTCAACATGTATAACAATACCACAGACTGGATAATTTAAAAAAGAAAAGAAATTCATTTCTTATAGCTCTGGAGACTGGGAAATTCAGGGTCAAGGGACCTGCATCTGACAGGGGCCTTGCTGTGTCATGCCATGGTGGAAGGGCAGAGAGAGTAAGAGATTGAAGTCTCAGCCTCTACCCCTTTTATAATTGGTATTGATCCATTCATGGGGTGGAGCCCTCTTGACCTAAACACCTCCCATTGCACCCCACCTCCCAATATGGTTGCATTGGAGATTAAGTTTCCATTTCCAATATATGGTTTGGGGGGGAACACATTCAACCCATGGCACAAGTTTTGAGTAATTAATTCTTTTAAATAGCCGTATGAGACAGGTACTTTTAGTAGCTTCTTTTTACAGGGGAAACTGAGGCACAGCAAGTGGCCAAGTAGGGATTCAGACAGTACAGGCTGACCTGGCCCTGTGCTCTTAGTCTCTGTGCTGTGCCGCCTCTCTGCCTATAAGTCCCCCTAACCCAGCTCGGTGGCACCCACCTAAGTGAATTGGAACTAGCGGTCTCTTCCCTTCTGTGAAGAGCAAGGTTGGGAGAGATGGGTCTAGGTGCTGGTCTCCTCCACGCTCTGCTGTCCTTGAGAGCCCAGACGTGCTGTCATCTTTACATCACCACCCGCCGAACACTAAGTGAACCATGAAGACATGGGCCCCGCATTGAACAGGAGTTTTATTTACTTTGAAATAATAACAGACCCTCCCTGAGCTGACTACGCAGTTATCCCCCACTGTTTGTCCTGGAGTGGAAGTGTGGGAGCATCAGGGTCTTGCCCGTCCCCCCTGAGAGCAGCCAGCACCTTCCACTAATTGGGCACAAACAGGCTGCGACTACGTATTCCACCAGGTGGAGACAAAGGATGGTTTAACGAAGCAGGAATCAGTATTTCATGCTTTCTGGCTGTCTTTCAGTGGCATCTCTTATTAGTAAATGTTGCTGTTATTGTTTGTCTTGTTTTTAATGTTGCTTGGAAACTTTTCTGCAGTTAAGATTTCATTGAAAATAGAAATGTTTCCTGTGGTTTTTCAGACTGGGAGCAATATTAGGCAAATATTCACAGAATGCTTCTTTTAGCTGCTGAAATTATGTTCATCACATTTAAGCTTTCAGTATGTCCAAATGGAATTGTGACTTTTCAACCCTGTTCAACTCCGGCCTTGGACATTGGGGTTGTTTTGTTTTGTTTTGTTTTTTCCCTCTAATCAGCTCAGGAATGAATATAGAGTATTTCTGCCAGACCCTCTTTATAAATGGACAGTCTCACACCAGGGGAACCCTTTTCTGAGAAAGGTCCAGGTAGTAAGTGTTTTAGGCCTTATGGGCCATACTGTCTCTGCCACAACTGCTCAGTTTTGCCACGATAGTACAAAAGCAGCACAAGTAGTACAATACGTAAATAGACATGGCTGTGTGCCGGTAAAATGCTACTTACAAAAACAGGTTCGATGTGGCCCACTGACCATAGTTTGTAGACCCCAGATCTAGAGGACTAACCCCAGAAATACTGCATCCTTTTGTCCCAGCGTTTCTCAGCCTCAGCACTATTGACATTTGGGGTCTGATGATTCCTTGTTTGGGGAAGAGGGGCTGTCCTCTGCTTTGTAGCATGTTCAGCAGCATCCCTGGGCTCTATCCAGTAGACACCAGAAGTATCACTGCCCCCACCACAGTTGTGACAACCAAAACTGTCTCCAGACATTGCCAAATGTTTCCTGGGAGGCCAGGTCTCCCCCGGCTGAGAACTTATTTTATTCTAAAGCCAACAGTAGGAAATTACGATGATACACTAGCCAATAAGAAGGGGTCTTACATGAAAAGAGTGGTAGATGAAGCTCAGAAGTCAAGTACAACAAAGACAGAGAGGGGCCATTGGCCACACAGTTACTGGTGCCCTTGAGAAGGGGACCTGGGCGCAAGTGGCGGGTACAGTGGTCCGATGGGAGAAGGTGGAGGAGACCCACCGAGTGTGTGTGGGCAGTTCCCTTCCAGAATTTTGGCTGTGTTAGAACATGTGGAGAAAGGCAAATAAATAAATAAGTGAGTAAGAATTTGGCTGTGGAAGAACAGGGCCAGAAGCCAGAGTGGGGAGATAATGGGTGGTTTTATGATGTGACCTGTTAGAGCTCGTTAGCGTGACGCGGGATTCCCCGGTGCAGCGGGCTTGGCTAGTGACAGGTAGAAAGGGCACGTGCTCCAACCCCCAATGGACAGCAGGGCCTCTGGGAATTCCTCCTGCACCGTCACAGGAAGGAAGCCTGCCGCCCCATCAGTGTGTTCCTGTCCCCATGCCCTTTCCTTGTAATGCTTGGAGAGAGGTGGCAGGTCATAGGAGGAGAAGGTCCTAGGGGCCAGGGACTCTGTCAAGCCACACACCTCCATTCCCTGCAGGATACCCAGGTTTACAAGAATTCAGATCTCCTTCTAAATTTCACATTCTTTATTTTTAGGGTCTTCTTCAAGATCAAAAGCCGAAACGCACACATGAAAACTCACAGGCAGCAGGAGGAACAGCAGAGGCAAAAGGCTCAGAAAGCAGCTTTTGCGGCTGAGATGGCAGCCACGATCGAGAGGACTACGGGGCCGGTGGGGGCGCCGGGGCTGCTGCCCCTGGACCAGCTGGGTCTGATCAAACCCATCAAGGATGTGGACATCCTCGATGACGATGTTGTCCAGCAGTTAGGAGGCGTCATGGAAGAGGCCGAGGTCGTGGACACTGATCTTCTCTTGGATGATCAAGACCCAGTTTTGCTTCAGGGTGACGCGGAACTATAAAGCCCTGCTTGTCGCTTAGAGACAGTGAAAACCCACGGCCTCTGTCTTCATCAATCAGGAAACCTGGACTGCCTGCTTGTTTTGTAACCCTTTTAAACTACCTGTTTAAAAAGTGGTCGTTTTATTCAGGTTTAGGAAAAAAAAAATATCCCTCTTCTGTTCCTTTTATTTAAAGAAAAATTGTTTTTGTGGGGGTTGGGGGGGGAATAAATAATTGGCACAATGATCTTTAAGAGGTGTTTCATCTGGGCTACATTCTCACAAAATCATCCCCGGCAGGGAAGGACCGGACATTCATGTTCCATTGCTTTCAGAAGTCAACCGTCGTGGTTGCCTTTTATCCCAAAGCTCACTGTGAGTGTGTGTGTGACGCAGGCTGCCCTCTCGTGCTGGGGCCCTGGGCCATCTTTTCCCACCAAGAGTTATTTTTATTCTGTCCTGACCTCATTCTGTAGTCTGCAGTGAGCTTGGCATGTTTGCCAGGAGACTCAGTGCTAAGGGGTAGCTTTCCAGGGGCTCAGCGAGCCTTGTGTTTCACATATGTCATGTGAGGGGTTGACCAAGTGTGAAAATAGGTTTCCCCTGCGTTGCCTGTCACCCTTTTGCAGGAATGGAGTGCTGTATAATTTTAGGCTTTCACTCCCAGCAGTGATTCACCAAGGACCTGGTTAATAGAGCAGTGGTCCTCTTGCATGCCCCCTGGGGACTGGTCAACTCCAAGTTGTGGGTGGCAGAGCTGTGTTTCAGCATGAACTGACTAGAGACCGATCTGGAGGCAAATACCCGGATTATTAAGTTGTCAGGAGGAATGCTTTCTGTTTAGGGTGGTTGAAGGGCTCTCGCTGAAGTACCTGGAATGCCAGGACATGTTCTTCTGCCCAGAAAAGTAGATCAGAAGAGCCTATTCTTTTTTGCAACACCATTAATGGTTAGTGGAGTTCTGAAATTATACTTTGTGCCACTTGGAAGTACTGTGAAACCCCATTCGCTTGGATTTTGCTGTAATTCACATCTGCTGGACTGAAGTTTACCTTGACATTAGCCATGAGAGTTTTCTAACACATATAGTAGCAAATACAAGAGAAAAAGCATCGAAGACCAACGAAAACGGTGTCAGGTACACTTCAGCTACAATGTTTGCATTCAGACAACGAATGCATTCATTCCAAGTCACTTACCAAAGCACTTCTAGACTTCTCCAAACCACATGACTTTGCCCTGCCTCCTCCTGTCCCTGCCAGCAGGGTTGCTGTTTATACTTGAAGGTAATAAACCTGTAATGCTTCAAAAAAGTCGTTTAGCCCAGACTTTTGAGCTGAGTCAGACTGACCCATCCCACTGTTCCAGCAAAAGTCAGACTGGGACGCAGCCCCAGCAGGGAGGATCCTGCTCATGGCTCCCCCTTGAGTGTTAATGCTGTGTGACTTTAGAGCAGGTGTTTTCAGGCCTCAAATCACCCCACCCCTGGCCAGGTATGCTGGTTCCCAGCTCCGTGTAAGTGTGGCTAACCTGCTAGGCCACTCTGCTAGCACATTAATAGCTTGACATTAGAATATCAGTGGAAGCATGAGGGTTGGACCCAAGCATCTTTTAAGTTTGACTCTGCAGAAGCATTTAGCACACACCCATGGGGGCCAGCACGGCCCACAGCAGCCCCACACAGGCGGTGGTCTCTGAATCTCAGGAAAGCCATGGACGGAAGAAAAATACAGAGATTCTTTTCATTTTCATCATTCTGTTTTCAGAGAAGAGGTCTTAAGAGTTTTCCTTCATCTTTTGTTTAGAGAATAAAAGTTTCACTTGCTGCCATTTCGGAAAGGTTATTCCCTTCTGTGTTTTATCTAAGCAGTTTTGAGTTAAGAACTGCCTGGGCAGTGTGCATCAACTTAGTGGCAGAATGATGACAGAACCATTGCACTGTCATGTCATTGGCTGATCACCTGTCCTGGACACTGCTTCCCTCCACTTAACCAGTGTTGGAGGGGGAGTCTAGAATGGTTCTGCTGTTTGGTTTGTGGAAGCTGATCTATCAAAGGAGCAAACATCCAGAAAACTGTTTATGAAGCAAATGCATTTCTTGTGTTTGAAGACTTGCCCAGCTGTTCCGGTTTTAAACATTAAAAATAAACTGAGTTGCCATGGCAAAAATGTAATGCACAATTTACTTTTAATTTTCCATGCAGTATAGCTTAAGAATTTTTGACTTGAAATAACCAAAGAACTCCTCCTTAACGAGACAGTTCAAATTCCTGAATTAGTATTTCTTGACTATCAACTTAAAGAATTGACTTCCTAGTAAAATATTGCACTTATTTTTTTTTTCTCTGAAATGATTCTGCCTGCATGTATGTGTTGTGTTTTAGCTTCCCCCTACTCAACCCCCACCCCAAAGAACTTTTCTTCCTAATGGTTAATGTCTTCAACTTGGTTACTGTTTACTATCAGATGGTTTTTTTCATTAGTGAATTTAGACCTCTTTGAGAAAGCTTGTATATAAAAAGTTAACAGATATATTTTATGGAAAAACCCATCTTATTTTCAAATATATTTAACTGCTGTTATATTTTATTAGAGGAAGGTTGTAAATATTTTCTAGGAGTTCTATTGTAAAGAAAAGTATTTTTGAAAAAAATTAATGTAATAAAAAGGAAAACATTTTTAAATAGTGGTTGTGATTGCTTCCTGTCCTGGCTTTGTTATGTTCTATTCTCAGCAGATGACTTGCATGCCTTCCATATCAGGATGTAATTTATTCAGGTTTGCACTATTATAAGTTGACATCATAATATCTAGTGTGCTTAACTGTATTTTCCCGGAATGCAGGTCTCTTGGTCCATATCAAAGCACTATGTATAGCATATTCATAATTTTTCTTTTGTAATGTGTGTATTTTTAATAAGGATTTTATGTAACATTTTGGCAAAAAGAGGACAGTATTTTCTAGTGAATTTTATAATAACATTTTGCTAATGTTTCTTCCTAGGTCAGTTTTTGTTAAGGTGAACCAAAAGTCTTATTTTACCAGGGGTTTAAAAAAGTTTGAAGCTTGAAAGCAAAGTTATATTTAAACATCATATGTAACAAATAAATAAAGATGTTTTATAGACTTGTCCTAAAAAGGTGCATTCCTTAAAAAAAAAAAAAAAAAAAGACTGGGGCATTGTAGGTTGTCTTCCCCCCTGAGTGATAAGCATTTTATTTTTAATTATCACAATACTTTTTCAGAAAGAGAAGCAGGAGAATTTTACTTCACAGGTTCCAATCATTAGCCTTCTCAGAAATTGACTACAGTTCCTATAAGTGGGCATTCATCAAATAGATGTAACCAAATAGCCACTGTCATATTTATTTGTGAAAACCTGATTCAATATTGCATCAGCTGCTCTTAAAATAAAATATTATCTTTTTGAGTTTTATTTGGCTTAAATATTCTTTCTTTCTAGCCACTGAAATGACTTCTCAATGCTGATTAATGTGAATTTACCTGTTACCTGGTTTCTGTAGACAACGGGCTTTAGAGGTCTGCTCAGGGAGGTCAGTATTACATACAAGTAAGTATCTTACAGTACACCCTCCACAAAATCTATGTCCACTGTGATTTATTGCATTTTAAATCCTCATTTCCAAATTTCAGTAAATAGGTTTACCTTTTAATGGTCAACAGAAAACTTTAGAAGGAATGTGAAATTCTAGAGTATAATGCAGATTTGCTTTAAGTGGGCAGTTGCCTATTCAAGATCTTGGCTCTTTTGGTTTTTTACTTTACTTTTTACTATCAATTTTAGGCGGTCCTTTATCAAAGAAAATAGTTATTCCTCTAGAAGCAGTGTGCATTTAGCCAGTGTTATAAATTGAAAGCCAGCTTCCAGGGCCCAGGGTGTCCAATTGGAAGACTTTTTTCCTAGTCCTCATGAGCCACCATGTACCAGGCACTGCTCCATAATGTGTTATACATGGGGGAGGGGAGTGTGTAAAGGTGGCTGTACATGATTCCTTCCTGCCAAGGAATGTAGTACTTTGGAAGATGTATGTGGGCCTGGGAACAGATCCAGTTCCACCATTGGGAGGAGTAAAGGTCATGCTTTATTAATATTCTGAACCCCCTTACCATCACCCACATACATAGCAATTTATAGCAGGTGTTCAGCAACATATTAATTACCTGTCTAGTCTTCCAGGTATGCTTATCCATGCATGTGTGTGTGTGTGTGTGTGTGTGTGTGTGTGTGTGTGTGTGTGTGTAAATAAAACCTCTTTGGAGTTTACCTAAAGTCAATTCTAAATTCCATTTACTCCTTGTCTACCATCATCAGCCACAGCCAGATAGCTGAGATGTGCTCTAGGAATGTGGATGAGTTTTAATGTGACATAGCAGAACATAATTAGGAAGACATTTTAAGAAAGTGAATACTTTATTCCTAAATGTACTGTAAGTGATCTTTGGATCACAGATATCCCTGTATAAAAGAGCCAAAGGGCTGATTATTTCCTTTGTGTAAAAGAGAGAATTTTGAAAACAAAACAAGTAGTGCAATCAAAGTATGATTGAATTTCAACATGCAAACATTGGGGACAAAAAAAAAACCAAAAATATAATTGAACTTAGAAATATTTGATGTATCTATGTTTATTTTTCATAGATATATATAGCAAGGTTTACTCACATCAACTATGTAGAATCCTTGGCCTCCTGCTCATCTGCATGAGGTCAGATGTTTGAAAGTTTACGCTATAGGAAAGAGACCCATAATGGATAGGCCAAGCTTCAGAATCCTGTCCCTGCCCACATACCTATGCCAAAAAGCCCTGTCCACAGCCCTGCTGTTGGCAAAACCTGGTTCTGCCCCTACAAGGACTCCCAGCTTGGACCAGATTGGCACCTGACTCACACCCATTATTAGGCCCATAGGCTGTTTGGTGACATATGACATGGCTTAGCCCAAGAAGTTGAAAGGGCCAAATCAAATTCCCACATTTGAGAGTATGAATGGAGAAACTTGGTGAGCCAAAAGCAGCAAGCAGTGGCCACATACCAAGGAGAGTCCTGAGGGAGTACAAACTATTTGTAAGCAGAAAAAGCCCATCATAAAAAAGACCATGTTTGGCCTCTGATGAGTGGATGGGGTATCCAATCCCTAGGAGTGCTTTGAGCACACTCTTCTAGTTCCAGAAGCAGTCCAGGCTGCATATATCTTTAAAAATAAACCCCTTTTTTTTCTTTTGGGGTGATAATAGAGTGGTGATTATTCCTTTCATCCAAAAGAGACTTACCTAGAAATGGACCTAGTCATAGAATCGGTACAAGGCACTGAACTAGATTCCGAAGAAGGTTATTGAGTCAGCTGTAACTAACTCACCATACAACCTTGAGTGAGTCATTTCATCTCTGAGCCTGTTTCCTCGGTTATAAAATTAGGATAAAATCCATGTCTTCTGGTGAGATTCAGGCTAGGTAACTTAGGTGAAAGTCATTTGCACGCTGTAGTGTCACCATCATTATGGCTGTGAACACTCACCCAACTGAGGCTACTCAAAGGGGACAGGCAGGCTCAGGAGCCCTCACAGGAGTGCCATTTGGACAGACAGATGCAAACTTCAGAAGCAGCAACAGAGCTGGGGGTGGAGAAGCTATTGGGAAACCCCACTGGCTGCGAGAGACCACCTTAAATCTCGCAATTCAGAAAGAAGGCCTAATTCTAAAAAGGGAACTGGGCAGTCTGCCAGGGTAGGACAAAGCCAAGTCCTACAGAAGTGCACACAGGGGAAGTGTGGTGTTTCCATACTCTGGTGTAGGACCACACCAGACAGCTCAGCTGCACTTCACATGGACTGAATTCTAGTGAACAGGGGCCAGCCTGAGGGGCAGGAAAACTGGTTTCTTCTCCCAGATCTTTCATCAATTTGTGTGATGTTAGGAAAATCATCCTCCCCCTTCCGTGGGTCTCTTGCCTGCAAAATAGTGTAAGTAATATCTACTTGCGGGGAGAAAACCAACATTATATTTGCACAATACTTTATTTAGATGCTACAAAATGTTCTCATAAACTCAGTCTTTTTGTTTTTAATCTTCTTAATAACCTCATGAAGCAGGTGAGGTAGAAACAACTTTATATCACAGACAGTGGATGACATTTATTGTGTATTATTATGTGGCTGGCATTGTACTAAACTTCATACATCAGTACCTCATTTAATCCTCATGCAACTATTTGAGGTGGGAACTATTATTACCACCTCTATTTGACATATGAAAAAACTGAGACCCGGGTGTGGAAGTAACTTGCCCAAAGTCACTCAGCTAATTGGTAAACCTGAGATTAGAAACCGATCTCCTGATTTTAAGTCCAGAATTGTCCTTTGTGTTAAATTGTATATGTGAAAGCACTTTGGGAAAACAAAGCATAGAAATTTGCACAAATGAAAAAAAAATTTATTTTAGAAAATCCCAGTTATCAGCCTTTTTTCTGGGAACTAAATTATGGTGGACATTAATAACTAAACAAAATATTTTTGGCTTGTTGTGGGTGAAGGCAGCCATTATAAATTCTCAAATACTAGAGTAACATAAAGAAATAAATGATTTAGGAAGAACAGTAGGATAGTGATACACAAGACGGATGGAACACAAAAATTCCATTTAGTGTGGGGAAGGAAGGTAGGATTAGGGAACATAACTAGAAGACTATTGCAATAAGGTAACAGGGTGAGAAATGGACTCAATAGTAGTGGTAGACTTTTTTTCTTTTAATAAATATTTTTGTTAAAATTTAAAAATATATATAAGAAAATAAATCAACTGTTATTATACTAGTCAAAGATAACCGCTATCAATATATTAATTATATATTTTTTCCAAGCATGTGTCTTATTGTGTGCCTCCAACAAAACAGTAACCACATAGGACAAACACGACTGGAAAGGGAAAACACTGATGGGACTTGATCACTATCTAGACTGCGCTGAAGCAATTTTATCTAGACAGGTTGTCAGCCAGGCACTGTACCACCCTTAAAAAGCAAGTTGTCACGTCTCTATGGTTTTTCCTGTGCCGGAACAGGAGGAGATACTCTCTCCTTTTGCTGAACTCTATGGTTTGAGGACGTCGCTGTGACCCCGGAAGCGATCCTGAGAGGTCGGGACACCAAGATGGCGGCGCGGACAGCGTTCGGGTCTGTGTGCCGGCGCCTCTGGCAGGTATCGAGCGGGCTGGGGAGACTGGGCAGGCAGACAAGGACAATTGCCACTAAGTCTCGCTGCCACCCGCTGTTCTGCCTATCATGAGTCTTCCCAATGTTTATTCTTCACCTCGGGCCGTATACAGGAAGGTGGCAAAAGGGGGCTAGTTTTATCTAGAATTCTCTCATGGAATTACCCATAAGTTAATGAGTCAAGGCGAAGTTAGGAACAAGAAGAATCGTAGAATGTCAGAGCTAGAAAAGATACTGTACTTCATATGTTCCAAAACTTCTCCCTTCACGTTTTCAAAATAAACAGAGACTCAGAGAAGACAGGAAACTTTCCTCATGAAAATTAGAGGCTGAACTGGAGCAAGATCTCAGACACTTCCCGTGGAACTAAATTGAGATGTCCTGACATCCAGGAATTGTGAGTTTTAGATGAAGATCTCTGAAGTCAGAGGAGTGGGTTGGATATCTTCTGCATGGTTCTTTGGAGAAGAAGCAAAAACTTAAGTAGCGATTGTCAAGCTTTTTGTCCATGAGATCGCTTTACACCTTTGGGATTGAGGACTCTAAAGAGCTTTTGTTTTTGTGGGTTTTAGCTGTCTTGTGTTTAGCTTTTTAGAAAATAAAACTGAGAATCTTAAAATTACGTATTCGTTTAAAAATAACTCTAACACATTATGTGTTAACATAATTAGCATTTTACTGAAAATAACTATATTTTCCAAAACAAAAACAAATTTAGTGAGGAGTGGCAATGTTTTACATTTTGGCAAGTATTGTTAATGTCTGGCTTAATAAAAGACAGCTGGATTCTCATTCAATCTTTCGCTATATCACACCTCTTGCAGCCGCGGGAAAACTACACTGGTGAGAGAACGAGAGTGGGAAAATTATAAATAACATCATAATATGATTATGAAAATAGTTTTGATTTTCTAGACCCCCTGAAAGTGTGTCAGAGACTCCCCCCAGCAGTCCTCAGACCACACTTTGAGAACCACTGTTTTAAAGAAGAATCAGGTAGTGTTAGGGGTTGAAAATTTTAACTACTGTACTAAGAGAAACTTATCCAGACAGCCATCCTTCCAGCTCCTACCTCAAAAAATAAAGAAAAAAAATTAAGAGCTTCTTAAGGTTGATTTTTGGATGGAACAGGACTTTAGTCTCCCACTTTTAAAAGCAGAGGTTTGTAGTGGGAGAACATGACTGGGAAGTGTCATATTATTTAGACCTATCCTCCTTTTGCACAAGTGGATTGTGGAGTCACTGGCATAAATGTAGAGAAGAGATTTTCTATGTGATTATGTATAAAGAATAGCACATACCTCTTACTACCTTGCATTGGCCTGATTTCCTTTCTTCTTTTGTTTTTCTCCCTTGATCCAAGGAAGAATACAGGAAGTTTTGATTTGTCTTCATCTTGGGTAAAGAGAGGAAGAAGTACAATAAATTAAGAATAGACTTCTTAAACATATTTAGGTGGCTTTCAGTTTTAATTAACTTTACTTGTGCTAAACTGCTATTTTCATCTTCATTGTTTTTTTTTTTTTTGTTTTTTTTGTTTTATTTTTTTGAGATGGGGTTTCACTATGTTGCCCAGGCTGATCTCAAACTTCTGGGCTTAAGTGATCCTCTGGCCTCAGCCTGGAGTAGCCAGGACTACAGGCATGAGCAATGTACTTTTAAAGTGCTTCCACTTTCTCAAGTTACATACTTAAATCTCAGGAAAACTTAAAGGATAAACAAGTAAATGATATATATAGTACATTTAAGTTCCCTAAAACTAGAAACTTTTGTTCCACCAGGGGGAGCTGACAATAAAGGATTTGGAAATGCTGTATTGTTACAGTTTATGTTACAGTAGTTAACAATGGGTATAAATTCCAGTATGTATTTCAAATTTATAAGCTAGTTATCCCAGCCAAGCCAAGAAATACATATGCTGTAAAAGATGTATGAAAGCTTCAACAGAAGGTACTTTAGAGTTCTTATTCCAATTTTTAATAAATTAGATTATAAAGCTACTTAGTAGTTTTTATTACTTAAAAATATTCAGGCAAAATAAGTTTATATTGAAACACAATCTGTAAAAAATAATGAGAGAATGAAGTCACATGTTGTTTTTTTCTTGATGTCAATGTTTAATTCATACCCTTTTTTAAATGTGGGAATTGCTTTTTCAAAAAAGTTCTAAGCTTTAAAAGATAGCTTTAAAAGCTTTAGTATTTTGAGACTGCTTTTTGATTATCAACTCTACCATTGTCCTCTTTTTTTTTTTTTAATGAAATCAAATTTGGTCATTTTAGTTACCCAGGTAGCTTCATCTGAAATATCCCTTTATTTGAAGCATCGTACATCTTTTGGTTTTTAGTAGAAACTATGAATGATTTGGTAATCAACTTTAATTCTAACACATGTTCTTCTCCCCTGTACTTTTTTTTTAAGGGCTTGGGCAATTTTTCTGTAGACAGTTCTAAGAGCAGTACAGCCAAAAATGGTGGCTTTCTTCTGTAAGTATACAACTGGGTGTGCTAAATTGAACAGGAAAATAGGCTGTTGTGCTGTTTTACTTAGGTTTCTCTTTTTTCCTGTACACAGCAGTACCAATATGAAGTGGGTACAGTTTTCAAGCCTACATGTTGAAACTCCTAAGGATTTGACCAAACCTACGGTATGTACTTCCTATTTCTTGATATAAGAAGCTATATTAGCAGTAAGTTTTCCTTACTGTTTCATCTGGGGTTGTTAACCAAACAGTATATGAATAAAAAAATTTTCTTCTGGAATACTGGCATGTGCACAACATGTGTATTTTCTAATGTTCCTTGCTGCTTATATTATCCTTAAGTATATCAAGGTAAGTTCTAAGAGAATAAATTATTTACTCCAAATGACTGGCAATTAGCATTCTCTTGCTTTTAGCTCAGCATAATTGAAGAGTTGTTATAATTAATGATGTTATGTTATGGAAAAATATTTTTCTTATAGCCTTCAAGTCTTTGTTTTCATTTTAAATATTGAGCCTGGGCCTGGACAAAGCTTTTATTATTCACAGTGAGAAAGAGTGTTAGTACAAGTAATGGAAAGTATTTAGGTAACCTTATAGAAGCCTTGATTTCATCAACCCAGCTTTTTGTGTTATTTGTAATTTTTAAAAATCCTTACAAATTCCAAATCCTTCCATTTCTACCCCTCAGAAATAGCCCCTTTTAACAATTTGGTGTGAATCCTTCTAGACATTTGGTGTGAATCCTTCTAGACGTTTGTCTGTACATACTCATTTTATCTATGCACATGCACACCAATGTGAAATTATATTAATACATGATATACTGCTATTTCTTTGTCCCCCACCCCCCAAATAGATACTGGATGTATTTCTGTGACATTACATGTATACGCCAGCTACCCCAGTCTCCTGCTCAGATGCTGCAAGGGTCAGTCCTATAAGGACAGGTTACAGGATGGGCACAGTGGCATCTATGCCCTTTAGAAGTAAGACTACTACTATTTATTCTAGCTACTTGTTGCCATGTGGGAAATCAGACTGATTGATGCTAGGTCAGCTAAATCTCCAGGCTGAACTGAAATCCAAGTTTTTATGTGAAATCTCCTGATTTTAATATTTGTAACAAATTTAGAATATTTTTGAAACCCTGTAAGAATCAATCAGAACACATCTTAGGGCTATATTCCCCGCCCCCCACTCATCACTCAACTTATGCTATAGGATATCAGTATATTCTGTTCTTTCAGCAACCCTATTTGGAGTAATTGAGAGTAGATATCTAGCTTCCTGGCTAGATCTCCTTTCAGGGGTGAAGTAATTTAACCCTGAATCATTGGATTAGTCTTATAATTCACTGGTTTAATGGATGAATAAAATGAAGGTAATTTACCTCTTGGAAGAAAGTCAGGAATGTCAAAGCCATTATTTCTAAGGTCTTTAGGTACTAGAGTGGAAGAGATGGAAGTGATTGGTATAGTCACTGTCATAACATTTTAATTAGAAATGAGTAATTTGTATATTAGGGCTGGCAAAACATACATGAATAAAACCTCATAAAGAATATGAATAGCAATAGCTCGCCTTTGTATAATGATGTTTTATCCTTTATAAGCACTTAATCTGTGTTTTCTTATTGTTTTCCTTGGAGAAATGCTGTGAGCTATAGCACAGGTATTACCCAATTTTATATATGAGGAAACTAAAGTGCAGATACTTATGTAAAGCACTTATTATAGATTATGTGATTTGCCCATTGTCCTTCAGCTACAGGTAGCAGAGTTCACGTCTTAATCCAGTTCTTCTGACCAGGGTACTTTCATTAGCAGACCCTGAAATCCCTTATCATTGTGAATTTAGAGCTCAGTAATTCTTAAGTTGGAAAATTCCATTAGTGATTTTGTAGGTTATCTTGAGAATTCTTTTGATTCCCACTGTATTTTAACAGATTCTGAGGCTCGTTTTGTAGATTTGAGCATGATAGTATCTAATACTTAAGCTAACAGAGTTAAGATTTTACTCAGCGTTTTTCTTCCCATTTATTAGTAAACTCTGTAGTTGTTCAGTTGAGGGTAATATGTTAAATTTGCTAGTTGTAAGTATTAGAGGAACCACAACTGAAACTTTTCTTTTGATTTTAGATAACCATTTCTGATGAACCAGACACATTATATAAGCGTCTGTCAGTTTTAGTAAAAGGCCACGATAAGGCTGTATTGGACAGTTATGAATATTTTGCTGTGCTTGCTGCTAAAGAACTTGGTATCTCTATTAAAGTGTGAGTATGACCTCTCCTAATCTGACTTACTAGGTGCTATAATATGATCAACCAGGCAAATGGATCCCAGGAATTTCTGAGCTCTTAAAATGGGGTGGAAATACATGATGGATAAATTTTAGGTTTGTCATATATTATCCTAAGGAAGATCGTCCCTTCCTTCCTTCTAGAATTTTTAAATACTAGAATGAGTGAACAAGGAAAATGAAAGAAATCCTTTCTCTAGAAATTGTGTTGACATGAGGAGATCCAAGAAGCCCACGTGTCTGGGATCTCCAGGGGGCAGGGAGGTAGAATAGGTGAGGAAACAGTCCTCTTAGACCCTTTGGATATGATGATCTTGGGCTAATATATCCATTGTTTCAAATCTGCCCTAAGAAACACCACTCACCTGGTAATTTCATGCATGAGCAAGGGGAGCTTCCTATAGCCTTGGAGTCACTACAGGGTCAAGTAGAACTGTCTCCTTGTCATCTGCTCCTTCTGATGTTGAACAAGGCCCATTTGGGGCTTTGCCAGTCTGGCCTTTTAACAAAAACAGAAGGCCACACTGTTTCCCAAAACAGGTTATAGTTTTGTGATTATCAGTATATCTGTAGTTTACTGTAACAGTGCACATATAGCAGACATTACAACTATGTCCACCACACTGGTGCTGCTCTTCATAATTCGTATATTTGGTCAGTAAGAGTCTCAAAGGGTGTAAAAGCAGGCATGTGTTTGTGTACTAGTCCTTGCATGCCAAGGCTCATTTTTGGGTCTGTGGGAAAAGGTTCCTGTTGCTATCTGTGGTGTTTATTTTGGCCTGAGCTTTATGGTGGCAGTTGTTGTTATAGATGACAGTCTTGACAAATGGAGGCCTATAAATGGTAGTTAATGCCTATAATTGTGGCATTAACAGAGTGTGAGCCTGACCTACAAAATTATGGAATCATGCTTTGATATCAATGACTCAGGTTTTAACAGCAGTATGTTATTTTGCCCATTAATTTCAGACATGAACCTCCAAGAAAAATAGAACGATTTACTCTTCTCAAATCAGTGCACATTTTCAAGAAGCACAGAGTTCAGTATGAAATGAGAACACTTTACAGATGTTTAGAGGTGAGTTTATTTCAGACATTCAGGCATTTTGGAAATACCAAGAATTTCACACTTAGCATATCATAACTTTCCTTTAACATTAACTGAGTTGACTTTTCTTCAGCCAGCCCATGCCTGTTAGTTGTAGAGAAGGTAAATGTCTTTTCATGTTATCAAAAGCGGCATGATAGCAAAATAGGAAAGCATTGGTTCTAGAGTTAGACTGCCAACGCCAAAGTCCAAGTCCTGGCACTTACTAGCTATGTGACCTGTACCTCAATTCCTTCATCTATAAAATGGGAATAATAATGGTTAATAATAACCATCTCATAAGGTTAGTGTGAGGATTAAATGGGATATTTATGTAAAGCAATTAGAATATTCCCATTGCATAGTAAGTGATTGGTAAATGTTATCAAAACAAGCACTTATGTGTCTTTTATATGGAAAACACTGTACTAGTCATAGAGGGTACAAATATAAAGTCATAGTTCCTACTCTTATATAAAAATAAAAACGCAGGCCGGGCGTGGTGGCTCACGCCTGTAATCCTAGCACTCTGGGAGGCCGAGGCGGGCGGATTGCTCAAGGTCAGGAGTTCGAAACCAGCCTGAGCAAGAGCAAGACCTCGTCTCTACTATAATAAAAAAGAAATTAATTGGCCAACTAATATAAATAGAAAAAAAAATTAGCCGGGCATGGTGGTGCATGCCTGTAGTCCCAGCTACTAGGGAGGCTGAGGCAGGAGGATCACTTGAGCCCAGGAGTTTGAGGTTGCTGTGAGCTAGGCTGACGCCACGGCACTCACTCTAGCCTGGCAACAAAGTGAGACTGTGTCTCAAAATAAATAAATAAATAAATAAAAACGTAAAATTTTATTCACCCATGTCTGACAGAAACACCTCGAGTGGAACACACAGAAAACCTTATACTAACCATATCTTATAATCTAGTCCTTTTGCCTTGAGTTGTTTTGTGAAACTCTTGTAAGTATACTGTTCTGATACCATGCTTGCCAACTGTGTTCTGTGGAGCCCTGGCTTTAAAATATCTTCATTTGGAAGGAAGGAGGCTTTGGGGCCATGCTTGCCTGTGTTCAGTTCAAGCAGAAGATCTACCCTTTTTTTTAAAATTGTGATTCTACAAAAGATTGTTTAGGGGAAGAACAGGCTCTACCACTTTTACAAAAAACAACAACAACAAAAACACCCCGATATAAATGTTTTAGCTTTGACAGCATAGTATAAACCATTTTCATGTTTGACATTTTAGTTAGAACATCTTACTGGAAGTACAGCAGATGTCTACTTGGAATATATTCAGCGAAACTTACCTGAAGGGGTTGCCATGGAAGTAACTAAGGTATGACTTGAATTTTTACCTCTGTTGGGGGGATATCTGTATTGTTGTTTTGCTACATTGCAGCCTGGTCCATCTGAGTAGAGAGGAGGACCCATTGCAAACTGAGAGATGGAGTTGCCACAGGGTTGGGAGCTTCCCTTCAGGTTTCCTTCTCTCCATTTCAAAGCTACAGAAAGGCAAGGGGTTGGAGAGAAAGAAAAAGAAGAGGATTTGACAAATTAATAAATCAAATTTGGGGCCAAAGAATGCTTTTAAGTTCACATTATATTATAGTTTTGTTTTGTTTCCTTTTTTTAGACACAATTAGAACAGTTACCAGAACACATCAAGGAGCCAATCTGGGAAACTGTATCCAAGGAAAAAGAAGAAATCAAGTCATAAAACCTCAGGGAGGCTAGTAGCACCTGAATTGGAAATGGGGATGGGCAAGATGTGTATGTTTAAGTGGAGAGTGCTTCCAGCTGAGATGGATTTGAGTCTACCTAATTGTGTTGAGTCCTCATGCCTGGTCAGCTGAGAGCGGGGAATGGAGCTTTAATGACAGGCTGGACTATAGTGAAAGAACCACTTTGTTCTTTTATACATGTCGTTATTTCAGTTTTGATTTTTACAAGCATAAACAAACCATAAGCCCACTATGAGCCAAAAGAGTCAAGTTTATATTTTGTTACGCTGCTGCTGTTCAATTATTAGTTTGTACCAGTTTTAATTTATATCTGTTCTTTCATCTGAAAGTGTTCAAAGTATTCTTCACACATATTTTTTTCCTTTGGAGGTGCCTAGAAGGAACTTGTGGTCAATTTGACACTGAGCAGTTAAAGTTTTTGATATTTCCCTTAGTGCAGGCTAGCATGTGCTAATTTGGAGGTGGTAACTAACAGACTTGGCTTCATTTAAACATTACATTTTGGAAAGGGAATATACTTTGCAGCAGACCAAGCACTTGTGTGACATGCACTGAGCTCTTCTTGTAGCCCAGACCCTTACAGAGCTGCTACAAGGGTCACTGTAATGGAATTTATGCTCTCAAGAAATTATTGGCCGAGCATGGTGGCTCACGCCTGTAATCCTAGCACTCTGGGAGGCCGAGGTGGGTGGATTGCTCGAGGTCAGCAGTTCGAAACCAGCCTGAGCAAGAGTGAGACCTCGTCTCTACTATAAAATTAGAAAGAAATTAATTGGCCAACTAATATATATATAGAAAAAATTAGCCAGGCATGGTATTGCATGCCTGTAGTCCCAGCTACTCGGGAGGCTGAGGCAGGAGGACTGCTTGAGCCCAGGAGTTTGAGGTTGCTGTGAGCTAGGCTAATGCCACGGCACTCATTCTAGCCTGGGCAACAAAGAGAGACTCTGTCTCAAAAAAAAAAAAAAAAGAAAAAGAAAAGAATTACTTGTATCATTTTATTCATCTTGTGAGTCATTCGTTCAATAAGCTTTTATTCCATAAACTTTGCACCCCACACTGGAGTAAATACCAAAAATTAAATAGAAATAATGGTTTTTGAAAATTTTGCAAAGCACAGAAAAATATTTTTCTTTATTAAACTCTTCAGTGGTAAGAAAGCCTCTTTCTTTTGGTAAATGTCACACTTTTTGTTTGGAGATGTCTACTTTTCCATGAAATTAAATAGCATAAATTAAAGCCCTGAAAGAGACAAGCCTACAATGGGCTCAAACAGCTGGTGTAGCAAACCCAGGGGAGTGCTTCATTTCCTTTTTACAGCAGAATCAGGTTCATGTCTTTTGTGGTTTTCTTTACATCTTTGGAGTAGTTATGACTTCTCAGTTTTTCCCCCTTTAAACTGAATTGCCTGTTCTCTTTTCCAAGCCTAGAATCAGGTATCAGTGTGTTGAATACATACTGCTTATGTATCAGACTTGCATTACTGTCATTAACATGAAAAGAATTACAGCCTGTGCCTCACGACCTCCTTCAGCTCAGTTGTTGGCTGTGTCATTCACAAATGCCTAAGCATACTTAGACCAAGGATAAGCCTCAGGATTAAGAACTAGTCAATAAAACAAGAGCAACATAATGGTAACTATATTTAGCAAAGCAGCAGTTTGTGACACATTTTTATCTTTAAATAAATGATCCTTTAAATATAGACCCACACTGTTTTTCTGAGCTTTTCTACAGATAATACAAATTACTGTATTATAATAGGGTGATACACGTGTGCTCACCTCAGTGTCTCTTCCGCGTGAGCTCCTTTAAAGGTGTGTGCATCCACTTCCGGCAATTTTCAGGTTAAATTAACCTGTAAACAGGATTACTTAGCTTATCTCTTCAAATCATATATTAAAATCTTGTTTTAAGATAAATGTGAAAATAAACTACACCTATGTCCATGCAGGCACAAAACTAACAGTATTTCTTTGACAAAAGTATTTGGCATGTTTGTAGCCTACTTGATATAAACAAGCTGATTTCTTATCCTGATAGGCTGAGAAAGTTTTTAGTTTTGTTTGTTTTAAATTAGGTCTCTAAGTAAAATGCACACCCTGAAAATTAGAATTAATGCCCAAGTCTCCCTTTCTATCCATGGTAGGGGTGGGAAGTGGTGAGAGAAAACTGGACCTTATGTAGGACCTTATGTAGGTCAGAGGTGGGAAGTGAGATTAATTTTTATTGAGGTGTAGCCTTGGGTTCCTTTTGCTTTCTCTCATTTGAAGCATATTTTCTTTGTATTAAATAAAATCATGTTCTGGTCTGTTTAATATTAATTAGTATAACTCTGTATATCTCTGGTAAGACAGAGTAGACTAGTTCATTGTCAAGTTTCAGTGCTTTCAAAGAGAAAGACTTATCTATTCCTGTAACCATTTAAACATGTTGGCCAGGCACGGTGCCTCATGCCTGTAATCCAAGCGCTCTGGGAGGCCACGGTGGGCAGATTGCTCGAGGTCAGGAGTTCAAAACCAGCCTGAGCAAGAACGAGACCCCATCTCTACTATAAATAGAAAGAAATTAATTGGCCAACTAATATATATATAAAAAATTAGGCCGGGCGAGGTGGCTCATGCTTGTAATCCTAGCACTCTGGGAGGCCAAGGGTGGTAGATTGCTCAAGGTCAGGAGTTTGAAAACAGCCTGAGCAAGAGCGAGACCCCATCTCTACCATAAATAGAAAGAAATTAATTGACCAACTAATATATATATAGAAAAAATTAGCCGGGCATTGTGGCGCATGCCTGTAGTCCCAGCTACTAGGGAGGCTGAGGCAGCAGGATCACTTGAGCCCAGGAGTTTGAGGTTGCTGTGAGCTAGGCTGATGCTACGGCACTCACTCTAGCCTGAGCAACAAAGTGAGATTCTGTCTCAAAAAAAAAAAAGAAAAAATTAGCCGGGCATGGTGGCACATGCGTGTAGTCCCAGCTACTTGAGAGGCTGAGGCTGAGGCAGCAGGATTGCTTGAGCCCAGGAGTTTGAGGTTGCTGTGAGCTAGGCTGATGCCTCGGCACTCACTCTAGCGTGGGCAACAAAGCAAGACTCTGTCTCAAAAAAATAAAACATGTCACAGTGAATATATAAAGCAATTATTTTAAACTGCTAGTCTGTTAACATTTCTGCTTGTCTGCAACCATTCTTGTCCTACGTTATATTATTAAATTAGCTTTACTACAATATTAACGAGTAACAGAATAGAGAAAGCTTGGACTTTGGAGTAAGACGAGTCAGATAAGAGTTCAAACTCACTAACTGCTGTAAACTTGGGCAAGATTTAACTCTGTCAGAGCCTCAGTTTACTTATTAGTAAAATGTAGGAAATAATACCTACATGCTTATATAATATTTAATACTCCAACTTACTAAGGTTAGGATATTTTACTAGATTAATAAAGTACCTCAGGCCGGATGCGGTGGCTCACGCCTGTAATCCTAACACTCTGGGAGGCCGAGGCGGGCAGATTGCTTAAGGTCAGGAGTTCGAAACCAGCCTGAGCAAGAGCGAGACCCCGTCTCTACTATAAATAGAAAGAAATTAATTGGCCAACTGATATATATATATAAAAAATTAGCCGGGCATGGTGGCACATGCCCGTAGTCTCAGCTACTTGGGGAGCTGAGGCAGGAGGATTGCTTGAGCCCAGGAGTTTGAGGTTGCTGTGAGCCAGGCTGATGCCATGGCACTTGCTCTAGCCTGGGCAACAAAGCAAGACTCTGTCTCAAAAAAAAATAAAGTACCTTGAACAATACTGGGCAAATAATAGACATTCAGTAAATGGCAGAACCAATTTGATGATACTTCAGATGCTTGTGTGCTGTACTTCTAAAAAAGCCAGCTGGAAAGGACCTAATTTATTTCCAAGGTGGGATAATACTTCCTTTAGAGCAGCAGTCCCCAACCTTTTTGGCATCAGGGACCGTTTTTGTGGAAGATAATTTTTCCAGGAACCGGGGTTGGGGGTGGGGTGGTTTGGGGATGATTCAAGTACATTACATTTACTGTGCACTTTAATGTATTAGAAATACTACATTGTAGTATATAATGAAATAATTATGCAACTCACCATTAGGTTGGGGATGCCTACTAGAGTATGCTTATAATAGCCACCATACATTACACCAACTTTTTCACATGGATATTAATCATTTAATTCTTACTAACAACCCACTAAAGTAGTTACCATTACCCCATTTTACAGGAGAGAAACCCAAGGCTTAGAAAGTTATCTGCCCACTCAATCACCATTTCAGTTAACAGATAAAGCTGAGACAAGAAAAAGGTGAAATTAATTTGTCTGAGTTCAAATTAGTGAAAAGGGCAGTCCTAGAACCTGTTTTTTAAAGGGGCTATGAGGTACCCAAATGTCCACTTTTTTTTTTTACTGCAGCCCTTTTAAGGCATGAAAATGTCCACATATTAAATGCAGAATATTCAAACTTCAGTTCCAAGTTTGTTTCCCCTTTCACATGACCATAATGTACTAACTTCCTCTAAAACTTAGAAGTAAAGAGATTGGGCTGGGGGGAATCTAAGGATAAAAGATGTAACTAAAGGCAAGAAGCAGAATACACAGTGCAGTTCTGGTGGTCCCACCACTGACACTGGCCTACGTGTCTGAGGGGGCAACACAAGGGTTCGGGCTTCAGCAAAGTGGGTCCTTCGGAGTCACAAGGACACCAATGTGGAGACGATTTATAGTAGGGCTTCAGGCCAGGCCTGTCCAGGGCCCAGCAGACATTAGTTGGTTGTTTTTAAGCATTTCTTTCCTCCTGGAGCCAGGCTTATGGCTGACTGCCTGCAAACCCCGGGGTTCTCTTTCCAAATCCCCTGCTCAATTCCTAAACCTGCCTTCCTTAAATCCTTACTACTGTTACTCACTTCAAGCTATCATTTCTCTTCATGGATTCTTAATCCTCTTTAAAGTGATATATTTATACCTTAATAGCTCAGCAGTATTTATAGGGCAGGTCATGGGCAACTGACCCACATGAAAAGCCAATTGAATTTTAGATTCTTCAGCCAGAGGCTAAATCAAGTTATATTTCATTCATACACTTTCTTAACTTGAGCACAGGTATTGTCCTTCAATCACTCCTCAGTGTTGCTTACCAGTTCATGTTCAGCAGTGGACAGGAATAACGCCACCTGCACCCGGAGCCCGCGGAGATGCGGCTATTGGAGAG